TATGCTGCCATTCGTTATGCTTCAGAAACTTTTGAGAGTGGCAAGGGGAGAATCGATGTAACAAGATTACAGATTCAACAACAAACTTGTATGGCAGTTATCATTTATCGATTCTCCGCAACGAATTGGCAGGTCTGTGACTGTGTGGGTGGGCCGATGACAGCTGTCAGGTGACAGCCAAAAGCTGTCACATACCTCACATACTCTGGCGACTGAAATGCCTGCCAGAGACATGAGTCTAGCGACTGAAATGCCTGAGACATTGGTTTATTGACCCCTCGGGCCGGGGCTTTGTGTCCGGGGTTTACTCTCCAATTTGTGCTCCGCTGTGCTCGCTCAATCAATTATGCTTCCTCTCCATCACATTTTCTGCTCATTTGATTAATGTATTAGCCACTCAAGCCGAGACCGAGACAGAGGCCGAGACGACTCTCTTCTCTCATCTGAACACTTTTGAGCTAAGCTCCAAGACCAGACTTGTCTTGTCATTCATGTTCCTCCACCTCATCCTCCTCATGTCGTCTCCTTTTGTCGCTGTCATTGGGTTTGGGGTCTGTGCGATTTGTTCTGGTTTGGTTTTGTCTGCGGTCTGCGCCGCCGCCTGTCCGTCCGGTTTTCACCTGACGACAGAGACGGACGGGGCACACTCTCTTTATTGAGCGCTTTTATTCATAATTTCTTGCTGCTTCTCGAGTAAAAAAAAAAACTACTGTTAGTTCTTATTTTACGAAGCGGCAGCGGCAACGGCTGCTGCCTCCTATTGCTGCCTGCTTTCTCTTCACATTTGAGAGCATTTGATTGTCAACCGGATAGAGGTTTCTTGAAGAAGAATTACTGAAAGAAAACTGCAATTTATGGAGATGTTGAAGGAGATTTTTGTGGCTATAGTGAAAGCGGTAAGGAAGAATTCTAAAAGAATTCCTGAGGAATGTAGAAATAGGGGGAAGAGAACTTTCGCTGGAAGAAAAAAGAAGCTCTACTTTTGACGATGAGAAAGGATGAGAAATCGTTTTAAAGCGTAAGGAAGATGTTCGCCGGAAAGAAATAGGATTCTATTGTGAGTTCAGAGAAGAGAAATACATTAAAGCTAAATTTTTCCACAGTAAAAGCTGTCTAGGTGCGAAAGTGAGATTAGAATAAAGTTGATAAGAATTGGAAATTTATTGAGGTAGCAAAAAAAACTCTTTCCATTTTTTTTTAACAACAATTTCTTCTCCCTTTAAATTTTTCTTTAACAGCCGTCATCGTTTCCATCTACGAGGATCCCGTACAGCCCCAGCAGGCCGCTTCCGTTGTAGAGAAACTCGGAGACTATCTGATTACTTGCGGGTACTAAGATAGTAGGTGAATAGATCAACAACACAAAACAACCACAACACCACCCCCCAAAACAAAACAAAACAAACACCAACACCTCCATCAAACACACAACCAGCAAAAAAACACCAACCAACCAACCAACCAACCAACCAGGAAACAACAAAAGCAGCAGCAACTTTGATATGAAGATGGATGGATGGATGGATGGATGATACCCTGAGAGAGGAAAATGCTATTAATAAAAAAACGTAAAAAATGGAAGTAATTATTAATATTTAAATTATGGAGTAATTTCCCTCCCCAAACTAAACGGCCAAGGCGGAGGAGATTTTGGGGAACGAGAGGATGTGCAAACCGCAATTCTGTTCTGAAAAAACGAAGAAGAAAAAAAACACGCAAATCAATTACCCGCAAAAAACAACAACAACAACAAACAACTACAACAACAAAATTATAAATTTCTCTGCATTATTATGATTAAAGAAAAACTTTTGGTTTATACGATAAAATAAAAGATAAAACAAAAAACATTAAATAATTCCAGTCCTCATCTAAAATCCGATAATTTGGAAAAAGTCTTAGAACTGTAAAACAGAACAGAAAGAAAAGAAAAGAAAGAACGAACGCAAAGCAACGCAGGCAAACAAAATATAAAAAAAAACAACAATTTTTGAAACATTTTTTGTATAGCAATATATACACGCAATGATATATATATATATATACCATTATATATATATATATATATATCTGTATACAGACAGAAATGATGAATAAAAAAAAAAAAGAGAGTGAGTGAGAAAAGATCTCTGATCTCGGAGAAGAGAGAGAGACTTTTGAGGGTAGTCGACGCAGAGAAGAGCAGAGAACTCACAAGCAAAAACCGAAATAATCGAAAATAAATATATATTCTATATATATATTTGTATATGTAAACTATTTGGAGATCCATGCAGAGATGCTCTATTTATACATATGTGTGTGTGTGTGTGAGAGATGTGGTATGCACACGTGTGTGTGCGGTGTGTGAACACTTTTTATACGATTGCGAAACGTACATAAAATAAAGATTCTAGATTCTCCTTGCTCCCCCCAAATCAACGCCATTTTGCCATAAGAAATTTCTATGTATAGGGTATAGAGGATCATGTCCATATAATCACACAATCGCTCGCTCGCTCGCTCTCTCTCCATCTCTCTTACTATCTACAATATATCTCTTTCTTAATTTGTTGTTGTGTGCGCATTGCTTTAAATGTTTCGAAAATCCTATCATACTACATCATACATAAAATACAAAACAAACAAAAAACTTATATGTAGACCGTTAAGTGTGCAGTGTGCAACCGTGGGGCTATGCGTATTCGTATGCGTTGCCCAGCACTGCCCAACCGGTGGAACATTCATTGCTGAAAGTTGGCAACCCTGAAGAAGAACAGAATTCGGCAGTTAAATCGCCATTAAAACTCTCTCTTTCTCACCATACGAATAACGTAACAAACAAATGCATGTGTAACAATTAAACATACGATTACCATACTACAACAAATCATACATAAATTAATGTGGCTTTTCCAGAACAACCACACACATCCCCACATATATACCAACTACCAACCCCATACTCTCTCCCTTACCCTTAGCCTCCACCCCCCATGAGTCCAAAAAACACACAGACATTTTTCGTACAAGCAACAGAAACGTGAAGTAAAACCGAATGCATAAATATATGAATATAAAACATAAAAAAAAACCAACAAAAACAAAACAAAAAGAAAAAGCAACATATATAATACGATACTTTAATACTATTGAAATAAAAAACTCGAGTGAGACAAACACAAAATTCTCCTCATAAAAAATTAAAACCAAAATGTGCATTTTTTTCTAGGGTTCTTTCTCTCTTTCAGGTTTGCTTTAAATGCGCAGCTATCGAGGGGTATCGATAGGTTGTTGAACTTTTGGGATATTATCGCCAGTGTTATCTTAAAATTGTTGGCTTTATGATATTTGAAATTTATTCAAATTAATTTTTGTATAGTCTTAAATTTTCTTTTCATAATGTTTCAGGTCTGCTGTCGATACGGTTATCGTATAATCGATAGATCGTTGAACTTTTGAGATGTTATCGCTAGGGCTTTACAATTTGATGATTCTTTGTGCTTGACATTGATTTCTTTGCCTATATTTGGTTTGCTTATTGAAATTTTGCGCTGTTATCGCTAGAATTAGCAATTTGAATTTTTCTTTGATTTGACATTGTTCTGCCCACCTTTTGGTAGAGACTGTCGTTTGCTTACCTTCTCTTTCGGCTTCATAGATTGACAGATCATTGAACTCCGCTGCTGTGTTGTTATCGCCCCTCGTACTTTGTAGCTTTAATGGATTTCTTTCAATTAATTTATAAGACATTGCTCTGTCTCCGTCTGTCTCTCTCTTTCTCTGCCCATTTTTGGGTCTATGCAAATTGTCAAGTTATTTTTATCGCTGCATAATCATTCTCAATGCGAAACGCCTGATGCCTGACGCAAGTGCGCAATTATTTGGGGGTCAACAAATATTATAGTACATAAAACAGAGATATTTATTTATTAATTTTCTGTGAATATTTTGCTGTGTGGGGGTCTCCTCTCCAATTTTTGCAGCTGGCATTTCTTTCAGCTAATTTTTTGTTAGTCGTTTTGGCGCTGTGGCGGGCGGCATCCTCATCCTCCGCCACAGCACAAAACATTGACCCAAATTATTTTTTTTTATTTTGTAAATGTGTGAAAATACGTACAGATATTTTTCTGAATGTGCTCATCCGCTGCTGTTCATCTTTCACTTTCGCTTTCTCAATAGCTCCCCACCGCTCCGCTCCGCTCTTCTCTTCTTTTTTTTTTTTCTGCTATTTTTGGAGAAAATCAAAATGATTCAAAGAAAGAGCTGGTCTGGCTTCCCCGTCTCGACAAAATTTTTTTTTATCGGCAGTACAATTAATCATATATTATTATTGTAACTTTTTTGTTGTGAGTGGCCTTTGGCTGCCCCTTCCACCCATCGCGCAATGCCATCTCTCTCTTAGTCTAGCTGTAATTTGAGGCGCGTGTTTTTTTTATTTCCATGTCTAACGGAAAAATTCAAATTTGTTTGGCCGCGGGGTAACGAGCGGAGCGGCTGAGCGGACGAGAGATTGATTCATTTAATAAAATATGCTAATGTTAGTCGTAGTCTCTCTACGATTTCCCAGACGTTATTGAAATGCTTTCGCTAGTTGTTGGAGGCGATTTGTAAGTCGTTTAGAGTGCTTCAAAACATTAATTTTTTTAGGGGAGGTGGAGCTTAGGGTTGAGAGCTGATATTCAAATTATCAACCCAGAATCATTTTTGGTACACAGAGCGAAGAAGGGTTCCCAAATGCACTGATTGTGCACGATACAGACACGAATGAGGGCGACAGCCTCGGTTCCAGTCTCGTTTTGTTTTTGTATTCTTCATCACAAGCCTCGGCCTGGAGTAACGGACGCGCACAGCTGTGTCCACACACGTCATGTATTTTGCTATAGGAATATAGTCTCGGAATAGAGTTCTTTGGTGTCTTGTCGCCAAAGAATAAATTCCAGAGCAATGGAAGCTTCCTCCCTTGCTTTTATGTTCCCAAATTTTCCTAAGGATTTTTCACATCCCAGATTGCTTTTCAAACCCTAGTACAAAATAGTAGACGCACACATCTTACCACAAACCAATATTAGAGTCTAGTAATTTATAGTTTATATCGAATAAATTTCAAGTAACATTTGAAGAATGGACAAGGAGCCTGCAAAACACTGGATAGTAAAGTCCAACCGAATGGATAGACGTCCGCAATTGCCGCCAGTGTATACCACTGAACCGCTGACGGTGCGAACCGTGCTCCAGCTATATTTCAACACCTTTCTGGGCGCCAACTTTGCCGAGTCCTGGGTGTATCCGTTGGACGTGGCCAAGACCCGCATGCAGGTGGAGGGCGAGGAGGCGAAGAAGACGGGCGCCAAGATACCCAATGCCTTGGCCACACTCCGAAGTATTGTCAAAAACGAGGGACCCAAGACGCTCTATGCTGGATTTTCGGCCATGGTGGCCCGGAATTTGATCTTCAACTCGATGCGGGTGGTGCTCTACGATATCTTTCGGCGCAAGTTCATACGCTTGGACGAAAACAATAAGGAAACTCTGGCCGTATCCTCGGCGCTGTCGTGCGGCTTTGTCGCCGGCTGCATTGCCCAGGCGATGGCCAATCCCTTTGACATTGTCAAGGTGCGCATGCAGACGGAGGGTCGCCGCCGAATCCAGGGCCACAAGCCTCGTGTCACCAATATGTTCAACGCCTTCACGGGCATCTATCGCGAGGGTGGCCTGCCCCACATGTGGAAGGGCATAACGCCCAGTTGCCTGCGCGCCTGCCTCATGACCGCCGGCGATGTTGGCACCTACGATCTGAGCAAGCGCTTCTTCAAGGACCTGCTCCAGCTGGACGATGGGCTGCGCTTGCGTTTCCTCTCCTCCATGTGCGCTGGCTTCACAGCCAGTGTGCTCAGCAATCCCGCCGATGTGATTAAGTCTCGGGTGATGAATCAACAAACGGATGCCGCCGGCAAGAATCTCACCTACAAGAACTCCATGGATTGTCTGATCAAAACTGTCAGTGAGGAGGGTCCCCTGGCGTTGTACAAGGGCCTGTTGCCGTGCTGGTTCCGTTTGGGTCCGTTCTCGGTGCTCTTCTGGATGTCCGTGGAGTTTTTGAGAGATGTGGAGGGACAAGCGGGTTTCTAAACAAGGTACATGCAAATTATAAAAGAAATTGTGATCCTAAGAAGGTGTAAAAGAGGTTGAATGGATGGATCATAAGGGATCATCTGTAGTGGATTAAGTTTCCCACTGGGAAAGTAGTCTCAAAAATCACGCAAAAGATCATTATTCACTTCGGAATGTACTGCATAAATTGAAGAGAATTTTCGTGTCTTGTGTGTTGTAAAATTCCTTCGCTTTCTGCCACATATTGCCAGCCAAATGTGATATGGAATACTCACAGAAATATGTCTCAAAAATCATCATCTGCTGTGGTGTATTTAGAGGTTCAGCTGCTGAGGTACTTTTTGTGATATTTCACTCATCCAAATTGTATAAATAATACCCACAAAGCAGTCCAATAAACAATCTGCCCATCTTAAGAGCATAAAACTAGTAATTTGAAAATATTGTCATTCAATAGTACGACATTCGTGCGTTAGAAATAATTGTTACATTGTTACATTCCTGTTACATTGTTTATATATTTCGAAATTCCTTTTGCAAATACGAGTATGGCGCGTGATAATAGGCACATGAATTATGTACGCAATAAATATCTCTCACCGACCATTCGCTATGTGAAGGAGGCCACCGCGCAGTCGCAGCCCTTCAGTGGCCCCTTTGCGCTGTATTTGAACACCTTTTTGGGTGCCACAAATGCCGAGTTCTTTACGTATCCCATGGATGTGACCAAGACGCGTCTGCATTTGCAGGGCGAGGCGGCGGAGAAGTCGGCCCAGGGTGGAGTACGACGTGGAATGCTTGGCACTGCTGTGGGCATGGCCCGGGAGGAGGGTGTGAGGGGACTGTATGCTGGTCTATCCGCCATGATCATCAGGAATCTGTTCTTCAATGGTTTGCGTGTGGTGTTCTACGACTGCCTGCGTCAGAGATTGGCCCAAGTGGATGCGGCCAGTGGCAAGGATGTTTTGACAGTGTCCCGTGGCTTTGCTGCCGGTTGTCTGGCTGGGTGTGCCGCCCAGTTTATAGCCAATCCACTGGACATTGTCAAAGTTCGCATGCAAATGGAGGGCAGACGGCGGGCTCTTGGATTTCCGGCACGAGTGAGCAATGTGCGGCAGGCCCTGGGCGATGCCTACCAGCATGGCGGCTTGCGATCGTTGTGGAAGGGCTGTGGCCCCAGCTGTGCACGCGCCATGCTAATGACAGCTGGTAAGTTGTACACACAGATTTCATCTGACACACAGCTCTACATGCTACATCCTACAGGTGACACAGCCTGCTATGACCTGAGCAAACGCCAATTCATGGCCTGGCTACAAATGCCCGATGGGCTGCTCATTCAGTTTCTATCCTCCGTGACGGCGGGCTTTGCGGCGAGTGCTTTGAGCACGCCCACGGATGTGGTCAAGTCGCGCATTATGAATCAACCCACCGATAAAATGGGCAATGGTCTGCACTATAAGAACGCCTTCGATTGCTACATCAAGCTCATCAGCCAGGAGGGTCCCACGGCCATGTACAAGGGCTTCATACCCTGCTGGGTGCGCATTGGTCCTTGGTCGGTGGTGTTTTGGTTTACATTTGAGAACCTACGAAAGCTGCAGGGACAAACGGGATTTTGAGTTTGTACAAAGTCAAGGAAAATTTTCAGTTTCCGCTTCAAGGGTAGCGAGATTTAGAGTAGTGTAAGAATATAAATATATATAGAACAAATATAATATAAATGATGAAAAATCCTCTTCTTTAAAATAGAACTAAATGATGGAAATTCTCGGGGGTTTGGTGGCAAATAGGAATGGAAATCTTATGGATTTATCATGCATTTTGCATTTTATCATCCATGCATGGCTCGATCTATCATAGTTCTATCATTGATCTATTTATAAATTTTCTCCATTGATCTATCATGTGCATATCTATCAAGGATCTATGCGGGATTAATAATCGCTCTATTAAGGAACAATTCTTTGTTCTATCTTAGATATATTATGAATCATAGATCAATTGATGGATATTTTATGTATTTATCAATGATCTGCCATGGATCGATCTATCATTGATATTTTTATGGGTTAACTGGGGATGAACCATTAATCTATCAAGGATATATATAATCATTGATCTATCATAGATTTTTCATAAATCAATCATGAAATTTATTATATATCTTTTATAGATTTCTTTATGGATCTATCGTAGATCTATCAGGGGTGTATTATGCATGGCCTAATTTTTGGACCATCAGCTATGAGAAATATGATCATGAATTAATCTCTGATTTAATGCCTTACTTTAGGCATAGTTTCTTTTACTTTTGCTTTATTCCTTAAGTGTTCGTCTGTCTTCAGCGAATTACTTGCTCAGCAGAGTGACTCTCAGGTGACTTTCTATCCCAAAATATAGCTACATAAATAGCTAGACATATGTCTAAATTTACCTACGTTTACTCAGTGTTTTATCTAAAAAGGAAACGGAAAGTGGAAATCTAAAATCTTAGCTGCAAATTTGGGTACTTTTTTTTATATAGAAAATTCAGTGCAAAAAAAACCCCAAAAACTAATAATTCTATGAATCGATTTGCAAGTGCAAAAACCCACATTAACCTAGTTGCTATCTATAAAAGAAATATAGAAATTTGCGATAAGCTGCAAAAGGTAGATTGGAGGAGTAGGAGGAGTTCGGGTGCTCCGACCACACCCTTGCTTGTCTACGGCGGCGCTTAACCTGATTATTAATAAATGAAAATGATAATGATAATGTGCCTTGAATGTAGACCACATAATGATGACGATGACGATATGTCGTGCCCTGCTGCCTGCCTGCCTGCCTGTCGACATATGTTTTACAGCGTTGCACAGCAGCAGCAGCAGCAGCAGCAACCCCTCCTGGTTACATGGGTGCGGTTCCGTTCCGTTCCGCTTTCTTGACGGGGGAGCCACTCAGTCTATTGCCTTCCAGCGCCCTTCCAACCCGCCCCGCCAACGTGGGTGAGGTAAGTGGCAAATGTCTGACATAATGCGTAAATCCTGCTGCTCACGGAAACCCTTGCCCCACTTCAAAGGTCTTTAGCACTTTTGTTAAATGAATGTTGGAAACGAATGGTGTGTGGGAAGGGGTAGGGAAAAACTGTCGGAACTGCCGGAATTGTGGGTTCATTTCAAGTTATTTTTCCTGAAGCACACACACGCATGGGTAATCGTTCTTTCATTACTCATCAGTGCTGAGGAGAGGGTTCGCTTTATAGGGAGGAGGGGGAGGTCTCTCATGTTTGGTTTTGTATTTAACGAGCGTTTCTGTGACTCTCTTTCAGCTGAGGGTTTCCTCTCAGTGTCTCCCCTCTGTGTTGTGTGGCTCTGTTTGGGTGCTTTATGGGTCAGGTCAGTTACAGCGAATTGGAATCTAACACCCGCTGACCCAATGACCAATTTATCGGCTAATAGCTAATGTTCAACACCGTGCAAACATTTTCCTAAAAACCCAGACGGGTAGAGCTTCAGGTATAAATCTTTTGCTGACTTTGTAGTTCGATTGTTGAGGTGAGGCGAGGCGCTGGCAATCGGAGGAGCAGTTTGTTGAACTGCACACACACGCGAAATTGTAATTGCGAGGATCAGCGATAATTATCGCTGGTGGAAAAAAAGCATTTGGCTATAGGAAATGTTTAATGCTCTAACTGGACAATGAATGCGGAGAATATACAGATGGAATCCGCTGAAAATAATATTTAGAGAGTTTTAATGAGCAACTGCCAGTGATTTATTAGGCTGGGAAACGGTAGATAAAACTATCAAAAGAAATAGCCAGAATCAGCTGAAAATAATGCCAGAATTAAGAGGATTTTATTGGTTAATGATCAGGGTTTTACTTTGGCAAAGAATAATGATAGATATATTTGAATCTTAATCTTCTATTTTTATTGAGAAACGGGAGAAATTCCGTTCATTATATATGGCGAGAATCAGCTGAAAATAATGCTAAAATGAAGAGAATTTAATTGGTTTGTGATTAAGATTTCATTTGGTATTGAATAAGGGATAGAATCATGCCGGAAATCAAATTTTTCGCTCGAATAATATGGGAAAGATCAGCAACGGGAGAGCAGAAGCGGACAGGAAGTGATTAATGATTAATTTTTTTAACTCTCTGCAAGAAAATTCTCCCCAATTTAATCCAACTAGAATATTACTGAAGCAGGTCATAGAACTTCAAGTGAAAGTGATGGAGATCAACCGAAATCAAGTAACCAATCACAAAGCCATCGAATGTATCATGCAACTTCAGTTAACAGAAGCGTATGCCACATTCAAAGTGAAAACCCTCTCGATCAGGTCGACGTTGCATTCGTTTTTATTCAGTCATGTGATTTGCCAGCGAATGAAACTCCAATTACGAGTACGAGTGCCCAGTGCAATAAAACAGCAATCCCAGAAAAAAACCCTACCAAAAAAGGCAGGAGAAGGAAAATTCAACAAAGAAAAGCTTCGATTGGGCAAGACACTACGGAGAACTCTGTTGGGCAAGCAGAACGTGGATAGGTGGGTGTTTTTCCTCTTGCCGGCAGAACTGGAACTGGGAATGGAGAAAGAGATTCTAACAATTGACAAACAATTCTATTGCAGTTATACCGAGGAGATCTAGCTGCAGCAGAGTATATAAGCGAGCTCTCAGACAGCAGCGGAAGTTAGTAAGTGGAAGAAAATGGATAAATATTCACAGTGCTGGCAGACTTTGCTGTGGCTATGGCTGCTGGCCTTTGGGCTCTGTGGTGTTCTGGGAGCTGAAGATCGAACCATCAGGCTGCCTGCACTGGAAGTCTCTGCTGCCTTGCCCATCTCTGTGGCTTCAGCTGCCGTCAAGCAAAAGAAGGAATCTCCACTGGAGCCTCTGCACCGCTCCAAGAGAACTCTAACCACCATTTGCGTGGAGATCAAGCCAAGTGGACCGCTGGAGGAGCCCTACTACATGTGCAAGGGTGAGAATTTCGGCACTGATAACAAACAGAGCTGCGTGGAATTCAAGCCCGGTGGCGCCCAGGGCGAGCTCTACTACATGTGCAAGGGCAACGATTTTGCCAGTGGAAATGGACAGGCGGATCAGCCCTCTGCCTTGCCTGGGTTTCCCTACCAAAAGCCACAACAAGCTGCACCGATTGCACACACCTTTCCGTCGTTTCCCGCCTTTGGAGGCGGGTTATTTCCAGGCCAACAGCAGTATGAGGAAGACGGCAGGGAAACGCCAGCGACGGCATACCAGGAGCAGCAGCGTCCTGGCCAAGGGGCGCAACAAAATCCACAACAGCAGCCCCAAAACATTCCTCAGCAGCCCCAAAATGTTCCTCAGCAGCTCCAAAATGTTCCTCAGCAGCAGCCCCAATATGCAGAGCGACCTCAGCAGCAGCCCTTCAATCATCAACAGCAATTGGGCTACCCTGGCGGCACCCTGGCTCCCCCTCCGGCTGCATTTGCTGCGCAGTCAAATGGCCTGCCAGCAGTTCCTCGCCCAAATCCAGGCAGCCCGTCAGCACTTCAATACGGAGTTGCTGCAGGCCCAGGCCCAACGGCCACGCCCACTGCATATAATACTGCAGCAGCTCAGAAGTCGGCGGCAGCTACAAAAACAGCGCAGGGACAGCAATACGAGAGGCCAACGCCAGTGGTAGGAAGTCGCCATCAGCCTGGCATGGATGGGGATGTGTTGGGAATGCCGAGAGTGGGCTTCCAAGCGGAGGAATTCAGACAGCGCTATCGAGGTTCCATGGGAGAAGCACCGATAAAGAAGCAGCAGCAGCAGCCACAGCAGCAACAGGAGTTGGCAGAGCCACAAATGGTCTGGTTACCACCTTCCCCAGTGGATGACCTACACGATGATCCCGTAATGAGATCGTTTTACAATAGCTTGGCGCCATCAGAGCCAATAGTAGGAGCAGCAGCACCACCAATGGCTAAAGCAGCAGCAGGCCCAACAGTAGGAGCAGCAGAGCCACCCCCAAGGACTCCACACCACCCAAGCAGAAACCAGCCAATGCAACTTGCCGTACCCATCGAACCTCTGGTGGGTCAAAGCTATCAGCCATTCTACGGCCAATCCGCTGAGCCGCAGGCACCGCCAACATTGCCACCGCCACCGCCTGCCTATGCCAGGCCGGAGGTGCCGCCGTCATCCAGCCTGGAACCAACAACAAATGGCTACAACTCCTACTGCAATGGCTGCAATGCTCCTGTTATGCCGCGACCCTGTTCAGCGGACACGGGTGTGAGCTACAGCACAATGTGTCCCAGCTTTCAGCCTGTGATCATCGCCATGCCCTGCTACGAGCAGCAGCCCACGCATTATCTGGCGCTGCCAAACAGAGCGCCAAGCGTAGGAGGAGGCATAACCAGGACTTATGGCAATGAGCTGCCTGCTGGCAGTCCCTATGGACCGTCTTATGGTGTAAATCAACAGGTGGGAAGTCCGTATGGCATGTCTCAGCAGGTGGGCAGCGCCTATGGAATGCAGCAGCAGGTGGGCAGTCCCTTCGGAGCTAATCAGCAGGGTGGCAGTACCTTCGGAGCTAATCAGCAGGGTGGCAGTACCTTCGGAGCGAATCAGCAGGTTGGAAGTCCTTTTGGAATGACTCCACAGGTTGGCAGTCCCTTCGGAGCTAATCAGCAGGGTGGCAGTACCTTCGGAGCTAATCAGCAGGTTGGAAGTCCTTTTGGAATGGCTCCACAGGTTGGCAGTCCCTTCGGAGCGAATCAGCAGGGTGGCAGTACCTTCGGCAATGCTCCTCAGGTGGGCAGTCCCTTCGGAATGGCACCACAGATGGGTATTAATCCCAATTCCGGATTCAACATGAATATGGGCGCCCAAGTGGGCAGCCCCTTTGGCCTGGCCGGTGGTCCTCAGGTCGGAGCTGGCTTCGGTATGGGCCTGAATCCCTTTGGACCATTTGGCGGCCTCAATCCGTTCAATCCATTCAACAGAATTCTGGGCGCTGCAGCACCCACAACGCCACAGCCCCAAAAGAATGGTTTCCAGCGCATTTTCCAGTTTCCAGACAGCTCCACGACGACGACGACAACAACAACAGAGCCACCAACCGTGGGCTCAACTGTGCAGCAATCCTCGGAAAAGGCGGGAAAACTAAACTTTTCCAGCAGCACACCGACGACGGCTTCGAGCTCTGCCTCATCATCGGAGCCTAGCTTGGGGGCGGCACTCGCGAGCCCTGGAGACGAGGATGAACACGAGGAGGAGGATGAGGAGGAAGACGAAGATCATGTGGAGACAACACCAGCAGTGTCCAGTGAAGAGGATACCTCTGGAGCCGCCTCCCTCGAGGCTATACCCTTGGGAAAGCTCACTGCCAGGGACCTGATGAACAAGGCCGAGGAGAGTCTCAAGACCAATGACCAGGGACCCACCGAGAATCCATTGAAGACCGAAAAGCGCAAACGCCACAATGCCCGAACCAACAAGGGGATTAACCAGAAGCGAAAGTATCTGCAGCAACTCTAGAATTTTACAGCATTTTTCTATGAATAAAAAATTTAATTTATAAATTGTGCTGGAGCTTTCCACTTTTTCCAGAGGGTTTTTATTTACTTGCAGCCTTAATCTTTTGCGTGGATCTTAGGGGAGAGCCCACATTGGACTTTACGTGCCACTCAACTTGATGTAGAATTTAATGATGGAACGTAAATATTTTTCTTTAATTAAAAGAAAATTTGATGAAGTCCGCAGGGGGTTTTGGTTGAATGTTTTGGGTGGAATCTTTTTGGAAATATTTCCAGAAATTTGAAGATTGAAGATTGAGGTAGAAACTTGTTGAAAACTTTTTCGTAAATTATTTTCTTCCATCTATCTATCTGCGTGCTGTCTGCTATATCTTTATTTAACCCTGCCCATAAATCCATCTTTTATACCTCCGTTTCCTCCTCTACTATTTCCAACTCATATCCACCACATATTACTTTTGTAAATAAATATTTCCCTTTCGCATGCCTGTCCAATGCCCAGCCCCGAAAACATTTAACAAAAAGCCAAGCCAATGGCCAAGCCACTTAAGGAAGTGTTTCATATAGCCACCAGATATACATACAAAGTAAAATATGTATATATGTTTATCTTGTACTTCCGTTTTTCTATGGCTATGGCTATGCCCCATGCCTCATGCCTCATGGCTTATGGCTTATGGCTGGCTGTGTGTTTATGGCCAACACCGACAGCTACGCTCCACGGATCAAACAGGAACCAAAGCCCCCCAACTCCAGCCGCTGGGGGTTTCAGCTGGCGATTAGCAATTTCGAGCACGTAACAGAACAATTTAAATAAACCATAAAGAAAAAGTTAAGCAAAGAAAAGGAAAAAATTGTAAATGAAAATACAAGTAAATAATAATGCCTGAAGTCAATGCACTGCAGCAAAAAAAAAACCTCTTGAAGTGTGCGGAGAGAGAGGTTGGCTGGATCTTGACTCGAGTCTGGCATGGGGCTTTGGAATGAGAACACACAGCTGATGTGCTTTTTGGATTGGGGGGAGGCTACGGCTTCTATTATTAAGTGGGTTACAATTTTCGGAGGGCTTGCGAAATATGAGAAATACGCGGGGAACTTCCTCATACCAATTGTACCCATTATGTTGTGGCAGAATTATAGGTATTAAAGAATGCTAGATGCTCTTTATAAAAATATATAAAAATAGAGGTATTGCAAATGAAGAAAAAAATATATTTAGAATTAAATTTGTGAAACTTTAAAGTGGAATTTTAATTGGTACATCTAAATACTATTCTAGATGATATATTTTGAAGCATAGAAATTGCATATTACATGCCAAAAAATCGATTAAAAACTAATAAAAAGTATACAGCCAAAAATACGTAAATACAAAATATTTAAAATATCTAATAATATCTCAAAGATGCAGAAAGATAAAAAAAGGTGTAGAAAAATATCAATCAAAATTAAGCAAAAAAAAAAGATCAACCCAAAAAATGTTTAATTTCAAAGATTATTGTCCTTGGACTTGTGTTTCTCCTTCAGTTTTCGATTCTGTTCAGTTTTCTTGAGATATTCGCAGAATATTCTTGATTTTAGTGAGTGATGAATCGTACATTATCCATCTCTAAAAGGAGAAATATATTCCCTTATTTATATTAAAGATAACTCCATCTCTTGCCATTTTTAATCTGCCACTCAAAGAGCCATACAAAGAGGTATACTTGCCAAGGCAGGGCATCGTCCATTGCTGACCTTGCAATAATATTGCCTGCAGTTTTAGCTCTCTCCAAATGAAAACATTGCCACTGGCAGTAGTTGCAGTTGACAGTTCGCGACGCGTGGTTAAAGTTACACCCGGGGGGCTTTCAAATCGCTGCCAAAAATGATGAGCACCTCAACAATTCTTGTGGTACTCTGCCTTTGCTGTGCTCTAAGCCGCTGCCAAGCCATTCAGGAGCTTCGAGATGAGCCAACCAATAGGATTGCTGGTCCAGGCGAACCCCAGTACTATCTGATGGCCGATGCCGGCTCATCCGTGGGTCCCAACGATGCGCTGAAGCGCACAAATCGATCGCTGCTCAAATGGTGGGACGATCTCTTCGGGCAGAATAATTGACAACAACAACAACAACAACAACAACTACAACAATGTGTTGTATCCCACTGTGGCGCCTGTTGTCCAGCCGCAAACGAATTGCAATGGCTATGGCCTGCAGCTGCAGGACTTGGATCCCTTTAAGCAAATGAAATTGTTCAAGAAGATGCCCGATCTCTTTGGCAATCCGATCGGCAATTGTGGCGGACTGTGCGGCGGCAATTGTGGCCAGCAGCCGTTGCAGCCGCAGATTAATTATGTGGCGCCTGCTCCGCCTGCACCTGGCTATGGTGGGGATGACGGCTATGCCAAGCCAAATCCCGACTATAATGGTCCTGGGGATGGCGATGCGGGCTATGTGGCTCCAGTGGTGCCTCCTCCGGTCACTTACGATGCTCCAGTAGCACCTCCTGCCAGCTATGAGGCGCCTGCTCCAAGCTATGAGGCGCCTGCTCCTACCTATGAGGCGCCTGCTCCTTCTGCTCCCGTCTACGATGCCCCTGCTCCCGTCTACGATGCACCAGCCCCACCTGCACCCAGCTACGAACAGTCTGCTGCCACACCAGACACCTATGGCAAAGTGGCGGACTATTCGCCGCCTGCCAGCAATTATCCTGCTGCCCAACCACCTCAGATTGTCTATCAGCCCATCATCTATGTGTCTGCACCGCCTGCATCCAGGACAGAGGTGGCCACCAAGGTGCAGGTGGATGAACAGAGCTACAACAATCAGCCAGCGGCTCCTGTCTATGAAGCGCCAACACCGCCAGCGGCTCCGGTTTATGAAGCACCTTTGGAGCCCACATACGCACCACCGCCGCCGCCACCTCCCGCTGCAACACCCTGCGGCAGCTATCTGCCACTTTGGGGCGTTCCTGTCTATAATTATGGGGCGGCGCAACCAGCGGCACCTCCAGCAGCTCCGCCAGTGGCTCCGCCGGCCTATGCACCTGCTCCTCCTCCATCACCTGGCTATGCAACGCCCAGCTGTGCAACGCCCATACGACTCTCGCTCATCGATCAACCGTATCGCGTGGCACCCGAACTCTTCGAGGAATACCACTATCGCTTGGGCTTGGCCGCACAGAATCGATTATAGTCCATGGATCTTTATTCGCTGACAGTCCTGTAAATAAAATGCATCTAACGATTTGTGGATTGATTTGTTGTACCTCATTTAGGGAGGGGGGAATGGAAATATCCATTGAAATGGGTTTGGTAATTGCTAAGGGAACGATTGCTGGTCAAGTATGTATGTGGCATAGATATGTCACGTAATCATATCTGATTAGAGATATGTTTTGTGGAGTGCCCATTGATTTATTTATTTATTAATTGCTCTACATGATGAATTTATGCATTTATGATGAATTTATGAATTGTGTGGCAGATTGATTGGTTTTAGTGGAAGGGGGAATTTTGAATGATTATTACTATGTATACATAAATTGTTTTTGGTAAATTTAAATTTCTGACAAGGAAAATGTACTTAAAAACTCAAGAGAACTTAAGATATTATAAGTATTTAATTTAGTTATTTATTTAGAATTTTTCAATAGAATAACATATTTATATGTACATACATAGGTACATTTACTGACAAGCCCAAGAAAATGCCTAGAAAAAGTCTCGTAAGTTGGCATGATTAAAATACAAATATGCGATCGTCTCTTGTTATTCTTGGAAATAATACAAATTTTAAATAATTTTAAATTTAATTATTTATTTAGATATATATATTTTTTATTTGACCTATTTGTTTCTCATAATCGAATCAGCCATCGTTTGCACTTTCATATCCGTTCTGGTATGTACATATATAAGAATTACAATCGTCATCATACAATAAATTTGTATCAAACGTAGAATGAATAGTGGATCCGATAGGGGGAACACTGCTCTTTTGGATACCAGATTGTGCTGTATATTTTTATATGCTATCATTACAAGTCTATTTAAAAAATGTTGATTTTAATTTTGAATTTTGAAAGGGTAATGAGGGTTGATTCGGAATATTTATAAAATATATTTATATATATTATATTTATATATATTATATTATATATATATTTAGTATGAATAAATTTATTTTATTTATATAACGGGCTGAAGTTCAAAGTCGTTGCAAGTACTACCCAAAATGCAATACGAAGCTTCCAAAGCGCGTATTGCAGACAGATGGGCTGCCCACCAGCCGTGGGGCACTGCCAAACGACGTGCGACATGACATTATCGGACATTAGGAATTCAATATGCTTCTTATACTATTCGAGAGATGGCTATAAATTGTAGATCAAACATACATATGTACATTGTACATATACATATATAATGATATCTCTTTTTTTTTCAAGAGAGAAATTACGCCAGAAAAATTAAATATCTATTTGTCATACTGTTAATATTATTTATAGATCTTATTGCCTGTTTATCTTAATATTTGCTCATTATCAAAATATGACTCCTATAAACAAATAGCAGCAGAGAAAATATGCTTAAATATGCTGAAAATACGGAATTAAATTGTTTTCTTGTACATACTGTAATTTGCTCTTTGTTTCTCAATATATATATTTATTTTCTGTGTGGTTTTTCCAGAAATAACGTACATTTATTTGTGCAAACATTTCCCCAGCCTAAAAACGATCAAAGCCAATCCATAGCCTCCACTCCACTGCACTTCATTCCCGCTTCCGCCACCGAATGTTTGTACAGTTGTGTGCAGGCGAGCAGCGATTTCCGTTCGACTTATCAACATGTGGCATACCACAAATCGACTGTAAGCAAGTATGCGGCAGACTATCGCATGTGTGCAAGAATATGATCGGGAGCAAACAACAACAAAAACAAAAAAAAACCCCGGGAGTAAGTCAGTTGGTCGCCTCGTGGTGCTGGTTCTCCTTTTTCCTTTGTTTTCATTTTCAAATTCAAATTCCATAACAAATTGCACTAAAAGATAAAGAGCAGAGAGTTTGCCTTCTTGATGCGGGGCCCTCAGGGCGGTTCTCTGAAATGTGATAATAATATAGAGATAGACCCAACACAACCCATTCCATGCCCATTCCCCTATCCCATCTCCATGACCATGACCATGACCAAGTGAAAGTGAATGCAGCCTTGCCTCGCCTTGCCTTGCTGCCTTCTTCCCAGCAGCTCCCCAACTGCTGCTGGTCATCGTCCATGACTCCAAGCTGTTGTCTGTGCCTCCACTTTGCATGTGGCACGCACGCACTTCTCTTCTTTCGCCCAACGATCATCACTTGGCTGCCGCCCCACATTCGCACAGCCCCTTCCGCCTCGTGCATGGCGCGCTGATGGTTTACATAATCTCTGGTCTAATCGCTTGTTGAGTGAGCGAGAAATATGGTTAATAAATTAGCCACGGGGCATGTCTATGTCGTAATCTTTTGCGGCAGAGTCACAGATCAAGTGGTAAGTGCAAAAGGAGTTGCAAGATGGGTATAGAAAGTACAAAGAGTGATAAAATATGCTATTAAGTGATCTGAAAGGCTAATACCATTGCTAACTGATTGCCTTAAGAGTATTAAGTATTTTACATAGGTAAAGGCATCAAAGTGGTGGCAATAGGTGGGGAAATATCTAAAGAAAGTACCATAAAATAATATAACTTAAATGATTATTCTCTGTGAAGAAAATATATTCACTAAATGACCCATTGGTCATGTCTTTCTATGAACAAAATTTGCTCGACACAAATCAAGAAGTTTTTCCGAATTGAGTTGGCAAAAAGTTTTCTTAAACGGGAAACAACAAGAAAAATTGCTGTTTTAAGATTTTCAATGCAAATAACAGAGTTTTTAGATTGCTAATCAATTTTACAGAGACTTAAAAAAAATAATGAAGGATATAGTAAGCTAATTTGGATGAAGGTACCATTAATCCAGGCTACATAAATTAGAAATTTGAACATTAAACGAGAAATTAGAAGGAAAAACTCAAAGAAAATTACTATCCAAAAGGTTAAAAATAAAATCTATAATTTCATCAGCAGAACATCTTGATAGTCTTTTAAGCTCTACCACAATTTTCCATGTACTTAAAATGCAACCAAAATGATCAATCACAAGCAATTACAGAACCCAATTACAAGCATATTCGAGTGCATAATTATATCTGAAACTCTGGATTAAGTGATCAAGCATCAAAGAACCGTTTCAGATCACATCAGGAGAGAGAGAGAGATATCAGCGATCAGGGAAACATGAGTTGGAAAAACTACCCCACACAGATTTTCTCAGAACTCAAAAATCGAGCGCCGCCGTCGACTCCGACACCCCAATGCTGTCGAGCATAATTGAGTGGCGGGGATGGGATGGGGATGCCAAGTGCCATGATCATAAAAAATTTAACAGAACATAAACAACAAAACGCAGAAACATCTATCTCTCTGTCTCTCTGGTAGTATCTTCATGTTGAATCTTTCTCTTGAGTTCTCTTGCTGACGGAGGCCTGAGGGCTGTGGCACTTGCAACCGCATGCGGGGGCCAATCAAAAATAGCGCCAATGCTGCTTTAAAGTGAGCATCTTGCCAGATGAAGATATGTAGTTATTTTACTCTATAAATATTAAAGAGTTTAAAGGTTATTTCATATTATATTTCAGTTTTAGATATTTTTTTGATGAAAAACTACTTCAATTTTAATTATTTAATTATTAATTCTATAGATAATTTTGGGTTAGTTCTCCTTCTATGTATTCCTTTTCGCAAGTAGAATTTTACATGGTTTAATAATTCCCATTTTGTATTCTAAAAAATTGCTTAAAGAAAGTTCTGTAAAATTCCCTTTCATACTGAAAGATCCCTGCGAAGAACTTATTTAAAAGTGTATTATAATTTGGTTATACCATATCCAAAAATCCTCTCCCATGTGCCAGGCGAGGCGTTGAACTGTGTGAGTGACGAACCCCAAGAGTGGAGTCCGAACAACCGTCTGTCTGCCACATACATATATTTGTGGAGTGAGTTTTGTGTGGTGCTCTGCGGCTCTGGTGACGCGATCTTCGAGTGGTTTGCCACTGTGGGGGGGTCTCCTTACATATTCATACACCAAAAGATAAATATACCTACATACATATGTATATGTATATGTACATATACTTATGTACATATATGTATGTATAATTGCTTTCGGTGTATATTTTGAGAACATTTTTTTTTGGGAAACATTTTCATTTGTTTTATATTTAATTTTCGTTTGTGCATTCTTGAATTTTTATATTTAATTTTCGTTTATTTATGTGGCATTTGCTATACGTAATAAATATCCAACCAACCCATTCCGACGTTATATGTATGTATGTGGGTCGTTGGCATTTGATTGCATTTTCAATTGGCTTCTCTCTAGAAGTGTGGGAGAGTTGGAGGAGCATTTCCCAAGAGAAAATGCATTGAAAAGTCAAAAATTAATTACTGCACTCAAGATGGGGGCTTAATCTGTCTAAGAAGCTACCAAGAAACTCTTCTAAAAGCGTTCTTATGCATCAGAATTGAGTACAACAAGTGGAGCTTATGAACAGACGATCTTTCGGTGTTATTTTGTGCTAAAGAAGCAATACATAAAACGATGGTTATTGTGGGTTCTTAAGTTGAGCAAGAAGTGCTACGTTTTATATAAAGTTTTAATGAATTTGAAATGACAGCGCTATGAAATAATTATCTGATTTAAATTATAATTAGATAAGAATGTATTTTAATAAAAAAAAACTATTATTTCAAACGCTTGGAGGAGTTTCTCTTACAAAGACTGTTATACTAGTCCGATATAACCGAATCTGATTTATATACTTTCTAAACCTAACAAAAGAACACATGCAAAGTTACAGTCAGATAGCTGGAATATTGAGGGAATTATTTGCATATTCATACATTTTTACATACATATGTACATGTATGTAACTATGTTGCCGAAAGCTGTTCCGATTCATCATCCTGCATTCCTGCATCCTTTTTTTAGAAAGGCGTTTGAGTTCGAGTTCGATTTCGGATCTAACTCTCATTGCCGCCATTTTGATCATTGCACCCGGTAAAGTTTTCTGCGTTGCTCCAATTAGTGCACTTGCTAACGCGTTTTATTGTGTTATTTTGTGCATATTTGTGTGTCTTTTGTTTGTGCGGTACTCCTAGCATGTAACAGTCATTTTAGGTGAACAAGATTAAAAGCCGGTGATCTGTTTTCGTCAATTTAAGTTTTGCAGCAGCCGCCCGCTCTGTTTCTGCAGCCTCTTGCGTTCTTCCTTCGTTCGTCTCAAACATGTTCGACGTCGTTGTTGTTTGCAATGCAAATCGGTTCGAGCGCGTTCGTTGTCTAACTCCCTCGCATCGCCGCGTGGTTTATTCTCTCTGCCATGTAAATCGTCGTTTCTAAGCTTATTTTTCGTCTATTTAACTAGTTCTTCTGCCCAAAATGTGTTGGAGCAGTTTTCCCCACGTGGGGCTTTGGTTTTTGAATTACAAGTGCGTGTTTGTTGTTGTTATATTGCAAATTTGTTCGATTCGAGTTGTGTTTGTGCGCCGCGCGCGGATCATTTATGCCGTAATCCTTCGGTCCTTTGTGTGCAAATGTGTGCGGGCACCTTCTCCACTGGAGTAGTCCTTTGCTCCTTAGAAGGAGCCTCGCCTTTTTTTCATGGAGCACCTGCTTGCGTGTTTTGCCATTCACCCTTTACGCGCTTTAGTTCTTGTTGTTGTTGTTGTAATAGAAAAAGTACGGCTCGAGTTGCGCCTGCATCCTCTCTTGGTTCGCCCACTCTCTCCCACAACTTTAGGTTCGCGTTCCGGTTCGTGTCTGTGTGTGTGTGTTAAACCGACTTTCAGTTGCTGTCGTACCAAAGAGAGAGAAAAATGAAGCAAACTAACAGAAAAGTGAGTAATTTACAAGCGTTTAAATTAAGTAGGGTATATAATGTTCGCCTAGCCATAGTTTTTGGATGCTCTCTCTGATCGCTTCGAACAGGTTTGATTACAAAGGGAACTTGAGCATCTACACCATTTGCAGATGTGTAAAGGGTTTTATTTTAGCATTTAAGAAAACATTAAAAAAGAGATTTTAATGAATATCTATTAATTCTTTATCCCCCAAATAAATAATAATTATACCAAGTCCCCTAAAACCAAAGACATTGCATAAATGACATGTGTTCTACTTCTTATCGAACAAGTACTTAATATTTCGAAACATTTTTGTGGCTTGTAACCAGGCCGCATACCCAGCTACCCCACCCACTCACTCTCGCTCTCTCCCGAACTCCCACCCACTCCCCCGTAGTGCTGTGTACCAGAATTTCTGAAATGTTTGTACATTTTCGCCAACCTAAACGTTAATTTCGTACAAATAATGACCCCAATAAGCTGAAAGTCAGCGGTATATATTTTGTGGTGCATTGGAGCTGATGGAGCAGAAAAATACTCTAAGAAGAAATGTGAAAGAATTAGTTCAAGCCACTAACTGCCGACTAGACAGATTCCAGGGGCTATATAAACAAGGGATCCGGTGGAGAATGTCATCAGTCACCTTTGGTCACTTCCAACAGCTCCAACCAGCTTTTCTTCAGCTTCCAGCTTCAATCTTCAATCACCAAATCTTCAATCAAGATGAACTCCTTTGTGTGCTTCGCTCTCCTCGCTCTGGCTGCCACCGCTCTGGCCACACCCACCAATGTTGGATCTTCGGCCACCAACGCCGGCTCCACCGTCTCCCTGGCCGCTCAGGATGGCGAGGTTGAGGGCATCACCAACCAAGGCTACGGCGATCTGACCCGTCTGCGCAAGTCCGCCTACGGTGGCAGCTCCGGCGGCGGCGGCTATGGTGGCTCCAGCATCCCTGCCCCACCCTGCCCCAAGAACTACCTGTTCAGCTGCCAGCCCAACCTGGCCCCAGTGCCATGCAGCGCACCCGCACCTAGCTATGGATCCGCTGGCGCCTACTCCTCGCCGGTGGCCACCTATGTGGCACCCAACTACGGCGTGCCCCAGCACCAGCAGCAGCTCTACAGCGCCGCCTATGTGCCCCAGCAGGCCTATGGCTACCAGAACTACTAAGGATCGACCAAAGGATTCCCATTAATGGATCACGAATACGACTGTCGGACGAAACACACAAAAATCTTTTGCTAGGTTTTCAGAAAATGTCAAAAAAAAATATTTATTGCAAAATTAAAATTACAAAAAAAAAACAACTAAAAATAGTCTATTTATTTATTTCACCTGAAAATAGTACCTATAGGTATCGGTCTCTATAACCAGCAATTGTCAAAGAAATTGCAGTTCCTACAGTAGTGCCTACCCATAAAGAATTTGGCACTCATGATTCATTAGAAAATTGTGAATTCTTTCCACCATCATTTGAGCTTTTTCTCTACTGTGGATATTACTTAAAGACCTTAACTGTATAGACTTTCGAGGGAAATAAAATCTAAATTTTCTACTTAAAAAATTATATACATATATATTTTTTTTTTAAAGGTAAAACAATATTGAGACTATGTATTTGTGTCTGGTTGTAAAACATATTTTATGCAATTTTTCTGCTCTTACGAGTATAAAAGCGGAAATGGTGCTCTGTCTGATCGAATTTCTTTATACTGTGGGCTTAAATATAGTTTATAATTAAAAAAGAGAACATATTGACTTTTGGAAGCAAATGTTGGGTCCATAGTTTGATTGTATTAACTATAAGCTTTATTTTGTTGGGCATATATGTAACAAAAAAAAAAAAAACATGACCTATGCATTAAGTCAGTCACTTTTGAAGTAAGTAAATCCAAAAATATATTCAAAAAGAGTTTCATATATTCAAATATGTACATAAATACATAAAATATATACTCGCAAAAATGGAAAAAAGTTTTGATTAAAACCGGAATATAGATACAGTTTTAAATTCAAAGAAATTTAAATTACAATTCCAAGAAAAAAAATTATTCCTGAGGTTTGTTCTGCGTGGAAAGAATAGATTTAAAAGGTAACTTAAAACTCCTAAAACGTATTTTCATAGATCTCCATAGACAAAAATACCTAAAGAAATATCCAAAGAAAGAACCAAATATGAGAACATACTCTGCTTACCAATACTTTCATAGTTCCAACCTTGTAAAACCAGTTAAAATACTCTCCGCAATAGAGTATAACCTTCAACGCAGCAGATTTATCATTGAATAATCCACTACTAAGCATTTCCTACCTTTTTATCCAGAATTAATTGATTTTTTAACATATTTTCTTGCGGGGTCTCTGAACCCCAAAAGTTTATGCTGCAAAAAATGATCAAAAAATGTAAAATTTATAAAATGATTTGGGATATTGCAACACATCCGCCGCACAATGCCCAAGACAGAAACAGAGAGACAGAGACGACGACCCAAATCCACGTGCAAGAAGCGGAAAACTGTGCGGAAAGTGGAAAGTGTAAAAGTGCAAACAGTGTAGGAAATATGATATCCCATACAAGATCCCCAATCAAATGGTTGAATGGACAGACGGGGAAACGGGGGCAGACGTGGCGACAACAAATGCAACAATTGCTGACCTTCGGGTTTCAGGTGGCACATAAGGTTTCGTGCGGCAGAAAGCTTTAAGAATAGTAAGGTTTTGACCAGGGAATGATTAGGATGTGGTACGCAGTACGCACCTTCTTAGAGCAGGAATTTCAATGCCCAAGGAAACACTTTCCAAATTGAAACTTTACCCTGGGAATTTCCGACATTTTGCAGCTCCAATCTTCAGTTATTTTCCCCCAAAAATTGTGCCTCATTTATAAATCTTTAGCCTCTATTTTTCCCCCTAGAATTGTGCTACGTATCTCCCTCTTTCCACTACAACTATGCCACCCACTAACCCCAATTTGTGGGATGTAATGGCGCATACTGGAGCACACCTTGCCCCCGTTGTTGCAAGTGTCTCTCTTTATCTGTTGCTTTTCGCATGGCATTGCACTTTCCACGGAAAATTCATAAAAACCCACTGACCATCGCCCCAATCGCTGGAGTCTCAGTTTACATCTCGCCGCAAGAGTAAATCCAACTGCAATCCGAGAATGTGGAAGTATCTGGCACTGTTTTGGGGGCTCTGGCTCTTTGGCTGCAGTGTGGCACCATGTCAGGGCTATACCACGCGCTGTGTGCGAAGCCTGCCCCTGCCGCTCTATCATTTCATACCCGTCCGCCTCTACACGCCGCAGACGCTGTTCGAGGGCCTGCATCAGGAGGAACTGCTGCGCGACCGACGACAGCAGCAGATCGTCCAGGAGGTCATTGTGGAGAATAATTTTGGTGGCGGATTTGGTGGACCTTCGTTTGGACCGCCACCGTTCGGACGTCCTCAGTTTGGTGGCGGTGGCTTTGGCCCTGGCAGATTTGGACCTGGTCGTGGCGGCGGTGGCTTTGGAGGTGGTTTCGGCGGTGGTTTTGGTGGCTTTGGCGGTGGTTTTGCTCGTAGCTACAACCAGGAAGAAGAGAAGATCCAAGTGCCACAATATAGCGCGCCTGCAGCTCCAAGTGCTCCGCTGTATAGTGCTCCTGCTGCACCATGTTCTTCGCCTGCTACTCCAAGTGCTCCTCCTGCATCTCCTGCTCCCAGTGGCATACAATCGCCGGAATGTCCAAAGAACTATGTATTCTCCTGTGAGGCAGTCATCAAGCCCGTGCCTTGTGCTGCTTCCAGCTCTTGTGGTTACTGAGAGAAACAAACGACTGATTAAATAAAACAAAGCGACTTTTATGGGAATTTGAGAGGATTTTTATTGGAATTTATGGTAGGGAATGAAGTGGGGCGGGCAGAGATCTAGAAAATGTGAGATCATTGTTAGATCTCTGTTAGAGTTTGGGAAATAAAGGGTAAGCGAGTTTTAGTTTTAGTTGGGGAATAAACTCTATTTATTTTTATTGCAAAGTCGGGCACTGTTTTATCGATTTGGGTAGAAAAGTTCATAATTGGATAGAGGGCACGTATCCGTTATTTTATTTACTATTCGATATAAAAGTTATTTTCCCATGATATATTGATCTATGATCCTAATAGCCAAATGATTCAAGGGCGTACCCAGAGCGAGGCAGGGGGGACAGCTGATTCGTAACCCCCTTCGCGAAATCCTGGGTACGACCTTGTGTAGACCTCTTTCAAAAAAGATAATTTTCGTCCTCTAAAATTACTCTATGGAAATTTATTTATAAAAAATTACAAGACACCACAGAAAGTATCTTCAATCAACTGCAGTTCGATTATCTTTCACTAAGCTTCCAAATTATAATGGACCTATATGCCTCATCCCCTTGCGATCTTCTACAGCAGCTAAAAACTTTAGAAAAATATCTTTTACCGTTCCATATATCTGATCTATCACAGAATAATTGTTCTGAATTTTTTGCTCTCCTAAAGCCATAGAAAAAGTATCTAAAAATGAAAATCTTTTTAGAACTTCCTTAAATAAAAGAATTAACACATAAAAATGCTTCTTATAAACGTTTCATTTTATTCAGAGATGGATTCAGTATGTTCTTTTTTGTGGGTGAGTCCTTACAAGAATTCCCTGACGTAGGGCACTGCGTACTGTGGCACATACTGCGAGTAGGCGCCCGAGGAGCCATAAGATGGTGCTGGGGCCGAGCAGGGGACGGGCTGCAGAGAGGGCTGGCAGCTGAACAGGTAGTTCTTGGGGCAGGGTGGGGCTGGGATGCCTGCGGGGGCAGCATACGACGGGGCAGCGGGTGCAGCAGGTGCGGAGTAGGCAGGAGCGGCAGGTGCGGAATATGATGGAGCAGCGGGTGCGGAGTACGATGGAGCGGCAGGTGCGGAGTATGATGGAGCAGCGGGTGCGGAGTATGATGGAGCGGCAGGTGCGGAGTATGAAGGAGCAGCAGGTGCGGAGTAGGATGGAGCAGCAGCTGGGGCGCCATAGCCACCGCCATAGGCGGCTCTCGACACACGGATATTCTCGGCCAGTGGTGCCGGGATGAGGATGCCCTGCGTCGGCTGCAGCTGGATGGTTTCACCGGCGGCCAAAGCAGCGGCGGCGACAATGAGGAGGAGGTTACCCATGTTGAAAGCCATCTTTAGGGAGTGTCTTTGTGCTTGTCTTTACTTTGTGAACGAAGAAGGTTGACTGTTGGCCAAGTTCTCTGCTGGAACGAACTTTATAGCCCACTTTGGAAAACTGCATACATGGAAAAACTGCAAATGGTAGCAGCAGCAGCAGCAGTCCGCTGCGGCAGTCCGTTACCAAAATTCCCAAAATGCTGACAGTCCCAGAAGCAAAAGTTTATAGTCTGAAGTTCACTTCGATTCGCTGTGGAGGTGACACTTTGATTCCACATACAACACCATTTTCGCGATGATCTATTACTCGATACTGCTGGCATGGATGACCTTAAATCTGCTGGATGGCTGTGCGGTGGGGGCTTCCGCATCGATGGCACAGTTTCTGGAGCGACCCCATGAGGCGGCGGAGCAGAGCTGGTCATATCTTTTGCCCACAAACTACTATTCGGAGATAAATCAGCAATATTATAGGAGATTTCGTAGGAGAGCGAACCTTAAGAAGGGTTTTACCATGCCATATAGATGGTATCCCTATGAATATGCAAGATATATATGAATAAGCGATAAATATATGCAAATTCCTCAAAAAATAACTGATTTCCAATAAAAATAATTTTATATAAAGTGAAAATAATAAAATTTGGGGTTATCCTAACACATAACGGTATTTTCGAACGTTTACCAACACCCATCTCTCATCGATAAACGATTGTAAATGGCAGAGTACGGCGCATGACCGCTATGCGGACGTCACTACGTTTGACGTCACTACGGTCGAAGGACAACAGACACAAACAAACCCCCAGGACAACCGAAAGACTTGAAATTTGGGCAACGCACAGAAAACTGAACAAACAAACATTTGAGGACATTTAAGGACCAAAAATGAAGCTCACACGCGGACGTTACACTTATCTGTTGATGCTTCAACTCTCACTACTCGCTGGAGATTTGTTCTTCAATGCCTTTGGGGCATCCCTAGCCAAGAATCATCTACAGACATCCATATTTTTCTTCGTGTGAGTACAACAGTGGAGTAAAACAAAGAGATTTATTTAAGGAAATTTGTTTCCCTCAAGCAGCACGCAGGATGCATTGATTATTGTCGAGTATTTACTCTTCACTTTGGCCCTGCATTCGACGTGTGTCTATCAAGTGGGAGCCTCGCATATTATACTCAGGAATTGCAAGCTCTTTCTGGGTAGCATTACCATATATTTTCTGCTTTCGGCCTCGCAGCATTTCTGGATAATCTATCAGAGTCGCTTGTCGGCGGCGGGAGAGGATCAGAATGGTCAGGAATGGCCTTTGGGTCTCTATGCCTTGGCTGTCATCCATAGGATAAGTGAGTGGCGAGGATGACTCTTAAAGGATGACAAATAACGAATGATTTTCTATCTTTTTCAGTGTCAGTTTTCTATTATTATAGCTCCAAGTCGACGGCTTTGACAATGGCAGATCCACGCTATAAGGAGGAACATCTTGATTGGATTGCAGAGCAATTGGGTGATAAGTAAAGGGGAGGAATCCAGGAATATATGCCTGTATATTGGTAGATAGCAGAAGTTCAAAGGAGGAGGAGCATAAAAAATGGGAGTATATTGAGTGAAAAATTAAGAGAAATTCAGTGTTTAAAATAGAAGAATTTTAAGCACTTAAATTGTGATGGAAATGCGCATAACCTATGTAATAAATGTACATATATTATAAGTAAATATTAAACTTATGTACAAATCAAAATTATTAAATCATATACCAACTATAAAGTTTTTTGAATTATCCATAAATTTTGAATATTTTCTTAAGAAAATTTTCCAAGAATTCGGGTATTTCGATACCCGTGCCGTCATCTGTTGGCCAAATATTAATACGGATCCTTTCTCTGAATTATTAGATATTGGATCAAACATCATCTATGCAAGGGAATTCCATTTGCTTAATGTAACATACGAGTTGGGGCTTCAATTGCCCGTATATTGTTTACAATTTCTTTCCTAAATAATGCATTTCAGTCATAAAACATATTTTGCCTAGTTTTTTTGTTTTTATTTTACAGAACAGCAGCAATATCCATACCAAACTTAATTAACTTAATTCTTTGCAAAGGGAAAACAAACATTGATCTGAACACCCAACAATCGTTTCTTTTCTCATAATTTATAAACATACCATTTCATTTTTGTTTTGTTTTTAATTTTCATTTATATACATTAATTTGCATTAATATTCTCATTTTATATACACTAAAATATATATATATATATATATTATTCTCTTTATTAATTATTATTGCAGAGACTTCTCAGTGATTTCATAAACTGGATAATTTTATATTCATAAATATATACATCGTATCGTATCGTACTCGTACTCGTGGGTAAGCACCAACAATTTTCATTAAATTTGAAAGAAATCTACATATAGCCTAAAAAACGTATAGCGTAATTTTTAACGGGTATAATAAAGCTAATCCACAGAAGTTTCTTTCTCTATATTGATATATTGGTCCCTTAAATACACAGAAAAAGAGAGATAGCGAGAGAGCTGCGAATGTACCGACGAATGTTACGTCCCCGAGTAGCTGAATGGCACTCCAAAGAGCTGCTCCCATGTCTGTCCAACGGCATTCAGACAGCATTCGGCATTGGCATACGTCTCAAAGTTTAGCTTCCACATTTCGCACTTGTTTTCGGTTTCATCAATAAAGTTTATCACGTATTCCACATCCGTTAGACGCTCCACATCCACTAGATTGCTGATGGGCTGCGTGAGACTTGGCTGCAGGGCTGCTGATTCTTGGTTCTTGGTTGAAAGCCAATCCCATTTGCCATTACCACAGATATGCAAATGGGAATCGGTGCTCAACAGTAGGCAGGGTTCCAAGGTCAGGCCTTTGTCTTCGTTAGCACTCAACTGACAGCTGGCGAGGATTGCACATAGATTGAGAGGTTCCGATGCAATGGATTTCAATGCGAGCGATGACTGTTGCAATACTTGGCATTGCGATGGCAGGGCATTGTCTGTGGAAAGCGTACAAAAAAGGAGTTAGAAAAATATTTTTGCCATTTCCTACTTTCGCCCACTTACCTTGCATATAAAGCAGCAAACTATCAGTCCTTAGCATATCCGGCAACAGCAGCCCGAAGCCTCCCCAATCTCGGAGGCTAAAGGATAGACCCAGTTTCCAGGCTAGCACACCAATGGACACCAATCGATCCACTGTGACGCTGACAATCTGCCTCAACCATTTGGCTACATCATCGTGGGGCGGGGCAAAGGCCTCCATTAGATACAATTTACAGGTGGACATGACAATGAGACCCTCGCCTAGTGTCTGTGTTTGTTCGTTGTAGATGCGTCCCTTGGCCAGCCACTTGAAGTGTTCGTCCTGCTCCTTGAATTTCGTTTGATAAAAGTACAGCTTCAGGCGATGATCAATGTCGTTGAAGTTGCTGTAATTGAACTTGTAGGGATGCATGCCAGCTGCTGATGAGCCGCCTGCATTGGTGGCCTCTGAATCGATGAGTTTCTTCGAGCTGGACATCAGCAGGTTTGTGGACTGGAAGACGGAAGCAAAGGGCAGCTGAGCTACCTCAGCGGATTTCCTTAAATGATTATTATTGGAAGATTCCTTGGCGCCCTCCTTTTGATGTTCGTAGGTGGTGCAAATGCTGTCCGTCACAGAGCCCGAAGAGGAGCTCTCTGTTAGCTGCACTTGTGCCACAGCTGGCGGTGGTAGTGGTGGTGACACAGCTGCTGCTGCTGCTGCTGCCGCTGATGCCGCTGCTGCCTCTTCCAGCCTCATCTGCTGCCCAAATTCTCGCTCTATAAAGCTCTGCGTCTCATCATGCAACGCCTGCAAATGCGGCAACTGTGATATGCGACGATCTTCTGAGGTCTTTCGACTGGCACTCTGTACACAATTGGGATCCAGCACTTCAATTGAGGATTGGCTTGGATTCGAGATGATATCTACATCACTTTCATTCGCACGAAACTCCAGATCTCGATCTGTATTGGAGCTGCCCACCACCGACTGATTGGAGTCGAAGGAGCTCTGGGAATTGGTGATTTTCGAACAGGAACTGCTTTCATTTAGGCTATTGGCGGAACCTATATATTAAGGGGAAGGAAAATTATATATTAGTGTGGTTTTGTTGGAAGATTTCAAGGATTTTCTAATGGAAGCAGCTTTGGTTCTTGGAATTTTCTTTATAATTTCGCTAATTTGGAAAACAAAGTGAGAAAGGTACCAAGGAAGCAGGCGTCTTTAGAGGTACTCTTGGGATTGATATATTACAAAAATTACAGATTATAAAGACCTCTAGAAGAACACCCACTCCCCCCATATATTTTTCATGGGCTTGCTTCTCTCTTCTGCCCCAAATGCTGCTTCACATCTCATTAATTTAAAGAAAAATTAAAACGCAAAAGCAAAATGCAAAATTAAATGAAATAATAAAGTAAAGAAAAACTTAGTACAAATCATTGGCATATTAACTTTTAGTGGCTTGCATCAAACTCCTACGCTTGGGTGTGTTTTTAGCGGTTGTTTTAAGCCTGGAGAGGGCCACTATTAAATATTAATAATCAAATATATATATTACAATTATTATTACAGCAATTATTAGGGTTATTTTGTTGAGTTTTTGTGGAGTGAGAGAAAATATTTAAATATTCAAAAAGCATGCAAAAGAAACAAACAAAAGAAAGAAGTATAAATTAAAAATATGAAATTAATATGCAAAAATATTCTTGAAATTTTTAAATTAAAAAATAAACATTAAAAATCTACATCAAATCCATAAAATATAACTACCAAAAATCATGAAAACCATTAAATATTGACTAAAAGTTTTTAAAAAAGCTTTCGAAATAAAAAGGAAATTAAAAACCTTTAAAAATATATTAAAATTTTTAGAAAATCACCATTTACTATATTACTAAAAATTTACTAAAAATGTATAATATTCATATTCAATGGCAATGAAATCTTCAAAAATGGAATGTCTATACAAAAATGGCAACAAAAACCACAAACAAAAAATGCATAAAAAGTGAAACCATAAACCATAAAAATCTAGCAACCAAATAAAATAAATATAAGGTGGGAGTTTCAAAATGTTTCCAAAATCTGATCAAAATAGAAAACAAGACTGGCCAAGGACTTGCCAATGCTATTGGTTTCCTCCTTAATCTGTGCTGCACCCACAGGTGGCGACTCCTCCACAATTAAAGCGGGCGAGAGTTTGGGTTCGGCGGCCAACTCCACAGGGGCTGCTTTATCCAGCGATGTGGAGAGATCTGTGACCTCTGCCACATGAACACTGTGACAGTCGGGACAACGTAGCTCTGAAAGAGGGTCAAAGAATATTATTTAGGTTCGTATTTCTATAGGTTGTTTCGATCTTACGCTCTGTCTTATAACGCTTGATCTTTTGTTCCATTAAAAACTGTTTTAAACAATTCACACAACGATAGACTTTGATGTTCATTTCGGTGAGATCACGCTGGGAGAGTATGTCACGAAGTTTCTTTTCCAGTTCCTAAAATAGTAAGAGAATTTTAGTTGAGAAGAGGAACTAAGGAATGGTGTGCGTTGTTCCCCACCTGACACAATGTATTCTCCACACAATAGATACGCTCCTGCTTATCCTTACGCAGCGTATCGAAATTTATGCGTAAAGTATTCGATTTTAAACGCTCGCAGGATTCGAGGATTTTGAGGCTCCATTTGGTTTTGGTGCTGTGGGGAAGTAAGGAAATAGTTAAGGGTTATTAATTAATTAGAAAACAAATTTAAAGGATTTTTAATTGGATTTCCATTCATTTCTGCCATACCGTTCACTCAGCGTATCCTTTTCGCGTATAAAATTTGAAGATATGGTCAAAAACAAAGGTACACTGGGCTTGTGCTCATGATAGACAATGTAGGTCTCCTCATCGGGCTCCATATCGGAAACTGCAAGGGGGAATAGGAGTTTGGATATAGCAGAGGACATCTATAGATTTTTTTTTAGAGCCGATCCTACCTGGTTCCTCTTCTTCTATCGCATTTGAGCCGCTTGCATAGAGACTTAATAACTTTTTGTGCTTATCCTGAGAATGATCCTCCTCCTGCTGCTGCTCCACTGGATTCGGCTGATCCGCATGCTCCTTCGTGCTATTGGTAATGCTCTCATAGTGCGTCTCCCCACTCTCATCACAGGTCTCGTAAAGCGTTTGATTTGCTGCCTCCTGGCTGTCCGATTTAATGGGAGTCAAAGTGTTGTTAAAGGAGGCGCCCCACGTGCTGCTGTTGTTTGTGGGAGTGGAGCTTACATTCAGAGCAGTGGGTTCGCCTGCTGCCTGGGTAGCTGCCTGCATTGGTGCAGAGAATTCACCCAGAAACTCGTTGAACTGCTGCCGTGAGGCGTTCCTCTCTTTTTCGCTGGGCTGTGCCGACTCGATGCCCAGCACGAGCTCTGCATTACCCGTCTTCAGCCACTCATTGCCGTAGGTGAGTCGCAGGGTTTCAATATGTTTCTTGGTCTCCAGATGCGCGGAATCGGTGGAGCATTCCTCTGGCTCTGCTTGGGGCTTGGCTGGGGCTAGAACTGCTGCCGCTTCTGCCACTTCGTCGGTATCTTCGAAGATGTCTGCTCGACGGATTTTACTGACACTTTTCTTGGAGTTTTGCTTTTTGCTGGTCTGCGAAAGGTCCATGGAAGTCGTTTGCTCCGTTTCCGATGCGTAATCCTTGCCACGAATGGAACCCGACGGCTGCGAACCAAAGCTAGAGAACTGTGAGCCATCGCTGGTGTTGATGGATGTCCTGGAGCTGTTGATGGACACAGGCCCACTTCGGGGCACACGATGTGAGCCTATGTAGCGCCACTTTTGACTGCCAGTCAGTGACTTTTCCGCCTTGGAGAGCGGCTCAAAGTCCAGCACAAACTTCATCGTTGCCGTATTCTTGTGCAGATATTGGGCCGTGGCCTGGCGATGCTTCGGGTTGCACGACAAGGGATTACCCTGTAGATTAAGCATAGTCAGAGTCATCAAGGCACTGAGCGGCAGCAGCTGCGAGTGCTCCAGCAGACAATTATCGGATAGATCCAGTGTGGTCAAGGCATCCAGCTTGGCCACATCCAGCAGCTCCTCCACATAATTGTTGCTAATATTGAGCAGCTGCAGCTTCTTGCACGCCTCCATATGGAACTGCGGCAGATATGTGAGACAATTGTAGCTCAAGTCGAGTGTCTTGAGATGCGGCAGCCATTTGATGGCTGCCACCGAGATGAGCTTGTTGTGCCGCAGATTCAAATGCTGCAAATGTTGGGCAAACTCCAACGCAGTGTCCACGCTCCTCAACGAATTGTAGCTAAAGTCCGCCGTTTGCAGTTCATTCCAAACGAAACCATTGGAGTTGTCACCGCCACAGCGTGTGATTATATCGTCCACACTGGCCAGACTCTTCACGCAAATCAAATGCTGCAATTGGCCACGCAGCGGCTGGATGCCCACCACCTGATTAATGCTGATTTTGTGCACTTCCAGGCGTCGCAGTGCACGAAATTTGGCTATATCGATGGCACCCTCAAAGTAAAGTTCACTGGGGAAATAGATTAATTTTAGCAGCGTTGTTTTCTGCACAAAATCGTGCAGCAGCTGCAGATCTGGGAAGACACTGGACTTGGCATTGATGGGCTTGACCACCTGAAAGGTTGGCTGATGCTGTTGCGGATGATGATGATGATGCGTCGTGTAAGTGCCAGCACCAGCACCAGCAATGATTTCCGTATCAGCAATCAATGTAAACGAATCATTCAAGGCACGCAGCAGCGAACCTGTTGGGCGACAAAACAGAGGAAAATGTAGTGTGAAAATTCCGTGATAAGGCGGGGCACACTGTGCATCAGCCAGTGAACGCATGCTGGGTGGCATTTTCTGCGTAGTAGCTGCTCCGATTTTCTCGCTCTCCCCTCTCACCTGATAATGTCAACGTAAACTCGGAGCTTAATATTTTATCCCCATTTTGTCGCAGTAAATTTGCCAGTTCGGTGATTTTTTGTGGATCCATGACGACGGCACGACGGCGCGAAAAAGGAGCACAAATCAGCTGTGACTTTGAATTTTGTTTGGATTTTCGTTTGCTATTATTCTTAGATATTCATGTTTCCAAGTCATTTCTCCATATATTAGGCATATTCTGGGCCAATGTCACACGCACAAATATTTGTAATACGTATTTTTTAATGTGGGGCACAAGCAAAAACAACAACAAAGAGAATTATGACGCCATTTGTGGTGGCAGATCTGAATAATAAATCAACATTTTCCCGTTTAAATTGTGGATTTTCCCAGACTGTTCTGCTAGTTAATCATCCATCATATGATCTTGCGGTTTTTTTTTATCATATATTGCAGTTTTTACGTTTTGTGTTGGTGGAATATTCCATTTTTAGTGCAAGAACGGAAAAATTTACTTTTGTTATGGTTTACTTTCAATAGTTTTTTAATAATTATTTGAGCCCGATACCGATACTATTACGATAGTATCGATTGTTTTTTTTCGAAACATTCAAAGTTGATATTCCTCGATTTTGATATTCCGTTTAATATTGCTAGCTAGCTGGGACTTTCAGCCGTAACCAAATAATTTTATCGGATAGATACATCAATTTTGTTCAGGATTTTCAAGTTTTCAAAAGTCCTTTTTATTGCATTGTTTACATAAAAAGGTTCAAACAAAAACGGCCAAAGCATAACACGTAAATATTGACTAAATGTGACGTCAGTGTTGCTGGTCAAGCAAATTTCTTCTATGCGCTTTGGCTTTTGTATACCCTATTTCCTTTAATTGATGTTAAATTGGTTGTCCCAAGCTGCTTTGAAACATTAATATTGCATTTATATTAGATTGACATGTTTTTTTTACCTATTAATGCATATGTTTTGTGTTTAATATATACATTTATCCCGGTTCTGATACCTATTATTGGAACCCGTGAGCTGCAAAATTTCGTTAATATCTTTAAAACAGAGACTGAGTAGTTTCTGCATTAATTGGAGCCTGAAATTACAAACAAAATCTCAAGACCATAATATCTATTTTCCCAAGGTATGCAGATTGTTGCTCATTTCGTGCCAAAGTTGCACAACAATGCTGCCTATTCATTTCCACACATGCTGCTGAAATTTGTCCCATACAAATCAAATGTATCTTACGTTCCCGTAAGATACATGTTTCTCACACCACGAAGTCACCTGCGCGGGAATACAGAATTGCTTGGACTTGCGAGTTAGTGTGGTAAAGCGACAGCAGATAATTTAGTTTTCCAGAGTGTTGTAAAGCATGCGATACGCGCGCTGTTTGAATTTTAATTCAAAATTGAAATTATTTTTAAGATAAAGAAAACGAGAGTAGTCGGAAGATGTGGATTCCATTGCAAATCGTTAGATGTCAGTTTTTATAATTGCAAATAAATATAGTAATAATCACATAACACCCTCTCAAAAATTATATAAATAATTAGAAATTAAAACTTTTTTTAACTACCCAGCTTTTATTTATGTAACACTCTCTTTGTTTTTAATTATTACATTTACAAATAATTTTAATATTTCTACGCAATCTTCGATTAAAAAATTGCTAAAAAGACGAACCAAAAAAATTCGACTTTCATTCGATTCGATTTCCGATTGTTCCATTCGATTGTTGCCGTTTGCACGAGTAATACTCTTGGCCACAAATTTACATCCCTTTGTTTTCTTTCTTTTATTTAGGTACACGCGCAATATATCTCATGGCTAACTAAGCTTTAAAAACAAGGCTAGGTTAAATTAAAGCAGACTTATTGGTGGTGTTCTCTTGTTAGTTATTCTTCTTGTGGTTCACTTGTGGGGATATGCGTGGGGATTTGGATTAAAAGAATTAACTAAACTAACTAATATAATAACAACCTATGCAGATTCCTTGGGATTTTGCTTCTTTAAAGTTTTTGTTTTTAAGACTTTTCTGTTTTTGTTAGAGGAATCTTTTCTCTGAGATTTTTCTGTGGTAGTTAGAGAACTTTCCTTACAGTTCCTTAATTTATTTGTGCTGAAAAATATACATTTATTCGGTTTTTATTTTTGTGGGTGCATAAAAATGTTAAAATCGTTTCGCCTCCAAGGCTCTACAAAGTTTGCCTGGGAAGAAGAGAGGTTTCGAAATATTAATATTATAGTATATTTTTTTGTTTAAAAATTAATAACTTTAAAACATTCTTTTGATTGAAAAAGATAAAAAATTCGTGCTTTTGGAACTCAAACTGAAAATTGCAGAAAAATTGATTAAACTTTTGTTTTTGGTTGGATTTTCCGATACGTACTGCTCTCTTTGCCGATTATGATAGCTGCCAATATTTCAATATTTTTGTTTTTTTGAAGTTTTGTTTTCGAAATGAAGGATAGACATTCGGTTTTTTTTTGTATGGTATGTACAAAATATTATATATTTTTTTAAAGTTTTTATTCTTAACAAATTTCATTTAATGTTTCAACAAATATATGACACTTTTATGTTTTTTTTTTGTTTTTTACACATAAAAAACACTTTTACACGATAGAAAACAATTGAAAAATAATGAATAGAAAAATGCTTGGAAATGCATTTTGATAGTCGTAGAAAAAATGTGAATGAATCGATGACTTGACTTTTAACTTTGGATCGATTAATGATCGATAGATATCGAGTAGTATTTACAATCTTTTGTGGGGGTTGTGTGGTGTGGGGGATTTTTTTTTAGAGTTTTGGCGACGGCATGATGGACGTATCCCTATGAGAAAATAATATATAGAAAAAGAAGAGAAGAAAAACAAATAGTTTTATGAATGAAACAATAATTGTTGTTGTATTAGCAAATGTCTACAGGAATGTGGATATGAATATTAATCAAAGAAGGAAGAGATACATATGTATATGACAGAATAACAAGCTGAATAATGAATGAAATTTCTAATATGATGATCGGGGGATATGTTTTCGATTGAAAGAAAATGTACAAAAATTTCATATTTGATTTGTATCCAGTTTTTGAATAATTTTGAATTTCGCTTTGAGCTTTTTTTTTATTCAGCTTTTGTTTTGGGTATTAAAAATAAGCTTATTTTTTTAGTTGAAAATTACAAAATAATAATAATTAAAATGCGGTTTAAACATTCCAGAAATAAGAGCAAGTGCAAAAACTTAAGGTTAAAACATAAGGAAGAAAACTTAGGACAGCAGAAAGGAAACTTAATTTTTAAACAACAGAAAGATTAGGATTTAAAAATAAAATAGGGAAGATAACTAAAGTTTAAATCAAAAAAGAAACGGAAGAGCTTAGGATAGAAAATTTAGGTTTTATTCAGGAAAATAAGAAGATAGACTTAGTTTTAAATCAAAGTAAAAAATGTTCTGTTTTAATAAAAATAAAATAAAAAACTTAAGATTTAAACACAAAATAAGAAAAAGACTTAAGTAAAAAATAAAGAAGAGTTCGGAGGTTTAAATCAAAAATAAAGAAGAAAACTTAAAATTTAAATTGAAAAGAAAAGCGAAATACAGAGGTAACAAGAAAGAAGCAATAGCCAAAGAGCACTTAAATATTGGGGGAGTGTTGCTGGGTTTATAAGGATATTCAGGATCAGGATTCAGGATTCAGGCGAGGATTCAGAACGTAAACGCAAGTGCAAAAGAAACGAATACACTGAAAGAAACGCAAACGAAAACACTTACATATGCTCGGGATGATTGCGTATGCAATCGATTAAATCTTTAGGCTTAAGCTGATTTGTGCATATCTTATGAATGGCCGTAAACAGGGGGAATCTACACAGGGAAGAGAAACAGATGAATACAAAATATATATGGGGATTTTGCCAGGGTATTCCTTACTTATCCTCCAGTTTCTTGTTCTTCAACATATAATTGACTTCTTCGGCAGTGGGTGGGCCCTGGAGTTTTTGGCCATTTAGCATTTCCTTTTCGAGTTCTTCGATGGTCTTGCCCGAAGTGACAAAAGCCTCAGAGACGCGACGATTGCGACCACCTAAGGTAAAGAGATAAAAATGGGAGATTAGATATATCGAACGGAGGGTTATATATCTTTTGGTTTAATCACCATAACACGTCGTAATGAGATCCGCCACACCGCAGCTCTCAAAGAAGGTGGACAGCTTGCTGCCTGGATAGAAGACATCCACAAAGCGAATCATTTCCATCAGACCCAATCGAATGACAGCCGCCTTGGTGTTGTCGCCCAGCTTCAGGCCATCCACAAAGCCCGCACCGCAGGCCACAATATTCTTGAGGGCGCCGCAAACCTCCACGGCATCGGCATCGTCGACGACAACAACACGGAAATGATTCGCCTGGAAGAGATCACGCAACACCTTGCCATACTTTTTGTCCGTGCAACCGATTGTGGTCTCACAGAAGTTGCCCTCAGCCACTTCATTGGCCAAATTGGCGCCCATCAAGACAGCGCATGGTATCTACAGGGAATGGCAGGGTAAAGACAGATGTTAGACATAGATATAGAGGGGGTCACCTTCTCGTATCGTTCATTTCGTTTCGGTTTGGTTTGCTTACCTTCAAGTGACGCGTGATTATATGCGAAATGAGATCAATGCCGCCTCCTTCGGCCTTATCGAAGCCCTTGATCAAAGATATGGCAATGGCATTTGGCTTGATTTTACCCAGCAATTGCTTGCAGAAATTGGGAATGAACTGATGTGGCACTACGAAAATGAGTATATCAGCATTCTTGGCAGCCTCCACAAGATCGGGCACGGCCACCTATCAAGAGAGAGAGAGCGAGAAAAACTTGGCTAATTAATTGTACTTTTTTGTTGTTGTTGTTGTACTGAATGATAAGAAATAAATAGCATACAGCAGACATAAAAAAAAAAATTACTCTGATAAGCAAGGGAATATTCCGTTTATCAAGGTTGAATGAAGGGAACGAGACTTTTGGGCAGGCAATTCATAAAATCAGGGAAATCATTTTTCAAACACGTGCTGTGCTCTTTTTGGAGGCACGTCTCTGGCTCAGCTCGGCTCATTCGATTACCCGTCTAGACTATGCAAATCGCGGTATTCCGATCCATTTTGATTATACAAATATATTATATATATGTATACATTGTAGTTTTTCTATATGTAAAACAGAAACCTGTTTGCCCACCACTTTAACGTTTGCTTTGTGGATTTCTTTGCTGTGACTCTTTCCTTATTAACTTTTGCTTTCTGGCTTTTGCTCTATTAACTCGTTTGTTTCTATTTTTGTTTTGTTGTTTTGCATTGGACCTTTATATAAGTGTAAAGTTCAGGTTAAACGTTCAGGCATTTTGCAATTTCTTTTGTAGTTAACGCAAACTTGGTTTGTTTTTGTTCGCCATACTTTTGATTAAAATAAAGGTGACAAATGTTTTTTTTATATCTAAAAAAAACACACATTTGAGGGTAAGTGTATGTCCTTTATGAAATAGCTAAAAATGCTTTGATTTATATTTTTTTTAGCACATAAAATAATAAATCAAATGAAATATGTAAAAGAACTTTCCATTGATTTAAGCTTTTCTTTTTGGGGGTTCCATTTAAGGGTGGAAAATAGGCCTGTATTCTCTATTTCCTGATTTAATATTTAATGGAATTCCCTAATGAAATTTATAAAAAAAAAACTTAATCAGAAATAGCCTCTGAAATCATTCTCACCTCTGTCAATCATTTCTGCAATTGCTAATTAAATTATCATATTTTTATTTTTTAGAGTCTAATTGTTAGCAATTGGATCCAAATCTTTCCACTTAAGCCTCGAAAAATCTTGAAATATTTAAAATTTCATAATTTTCTTGATCCTTATTAACCGTTTGACTCATTTTCTTTCTAAGCTTTTTGCATATTTGTTGCATTGCTGACATTGGTCTCGCTTATTGTTTATATAAATATACTTTTCTCCTTTGTTATTGCTTCTGCTGTTGTGATGGATCCCCCGCAACCCATTCCCCATTTAACACCATCGCGCGTAACAGCTACTGAAAGTTTGCCAATTTTATATGGTATATAATATATGGCACTACATGCTAACATATGTACATATATGCATGCTAGATACATGTAGGTGAAGCCGTCTAATTATACAGACAAACAAACGGCAAAAACAGAGTATCTATAGAATAGGGGAATGATCTATCAACTCTCTTTGTACCCTAGAAAATTTAGAGATAAAGGAACTTAGATCACACTAAAGTGTACGTATCTTTGATAAGAATCATAAATTATATTGATAAAGTGTCTTTGTGTGCTACTTTTTTTTTTATAACTATGAGTATTTGAAGTTGTTTTTTATATAGGCAGTACTAGTAAGTTAGTTTTGTTTATTTCCTATGGGTATCCACCCTTAGAGGGTACCAAACTCTTCTAGACAACCTCCTTGGGTGCCCATTTTGTTATGTTTTCCATTTATATATATTTTTATCAGTCCATGCCACTAACGCATGTCTGTCTCCTACACCAGTTGTGTTTAATCTATAGGGCGGGGACACTGTGTTTATGGAAGTTCTGTTTCTATGTGATAATACCCAGAACTTACAGGCTGTTTACAGCGAGCAAACATGGGATACACACGGACAGCAGACAGTGGACATTGGACATGGGATGGGCGGCTACTAGTCTCTGGATGGATGGATGGATGGATGGATGGCTAGTTGGGACTTTATCAGCGGTGAATGTGGGTTTCATGTTCTACATGAGCGGCAACAAGTGTTGCTGCTGCTGGCCTTATCGATAATCAGCAAATGGAAATATTCGAGTGCTTTTTTATATACACAAAAATACGGCAATTTCAAGTGGAATCGTTTGTCGTCTATAATCGGTGCGTCGTCTCTTATCGGTTCGAGACAATTATTGCTTAATGGACGTGCCCTTTTCTAACCCCTGAAAGGAGAAAGGCCTTGCCCACCTTGTGTAGAAATTACAACTTGAGTAAAGGTCCCCGAAGGCGTCATAGAAAATTACTATTGTTTGAGTGCTTTCAAAGAAGAGAGCCCAAGCCGGCCTTGACCTACGTCAAAGACAACTTAAGAGAAAGCCCTGCAAATGTCAGCTAGATGAAAGCTTTGTAGAGTGCAAGAGAGATGGCGCAACATTTAGAGAGTGCAAAACCATTTGACAGCTGAAGAGAGAGAGAGAGAGAGAGAGTGCCAAAGTAGCCAGAGAGGAAGCAGGCGCACAATAGAATGCATGCGGATTATTCAAAAGAGAGAGTGAGAGAAAGAGATCTGCATTGAATGTGAAACTTTGCATACCCTTGAAGAGTGGGGGGAATATTGATTGCAAACAGAGGTTTGCTGCCAATGCAATCAAGGGTATATTCTTGATTAGAATATAACTTCAAATCGATGTGTCTGTGTTTCCATGACCTTTCCTTTTCAAGGTGTTTTTTTCTATAGTCGGTTCATATTATCTACCATAGCCGCCACCGCATGCTTCTAAAAGGGTATCTTTAGAGTCGACGATCCCATACGAGCTAACCTTGTTTTCTCTTTATTGTTTGTTGGTTGTTGTTGCTGGCCCTGAAAAAATGCAGCGAACCACACAAACAAGAGCAAGCATTTGAGTGCAAGCAAAAGAGAGAAACCAAAGAAAGAAAGAGAGCGCGAGAGAGTGTAAGGTGTAAAAATAGATGTGCATTTGTGTGATTAGATAATTTGCCGCTTGCACGAACGACGACGACGGCGATGACGATGGTCAAGATCAAGGCAAAGAGACGTTTATGTAAGCCACATGGCTGTTAATCCGCACAAGCAAACACACACACACACACACACACACAGAGCTATTACATAATGTAGTATGAAATTCCGCAGTGTTTTTTTAGCCTCTAGCGAGTGAGTTATTACCCCCTTAACAGCTGTTTTGCATGATTTTGGATGTTTTTCGATGCTCTTATCACACTTACCACATTCGGTGGCAGCTTGTGTCCCTTCAGGTATTTGACATTCTCGTGCGTCTCATTGATGATTTCCGTGAGCTTCTTGCCATCAATCAGCTCCTCGTAGACGAACATGGTCACCCGCTCCTCGAATTCCGGCAGTGCAGAAGCATTGGCGCCCACAATTTTCGCTATCGCCGAACCCCTGGAGCGAGGACAAGGAAGGAGGATGCAAGGTTACAGAGTGGAGCAGGGAAAGCAAGAGTAGAGAGGAGAGGGAAGCATAATGCAATTATTATATAAGTAAAAGGAGGGTGCCAGGGGGAGGTGGATTTTTACACTCACCAATTGCCGGAGCCCACAATGCACACGTTTACTTTATCCGCCATAATTATTTATGTTCTGTTCTGCTGTTGATTGCTACACTGCTATTTATTTTATGTATTTCCTATAAGTTATAGCTTCGCACGTCGTTTCGCGTGTTTGGCGCCCGCTAGTATTTAATTTAATATTTTCTAAAAATGTTGACACGTCGAACGAGCCACGGCGAACCACTGTGAAGTGAATAAAAATAATCGCGTAATTATTTATTTATTTCATTTGTGAGCAGTGTGACCGCGCATTTATTGATAAAATATACCGTTGGACCCTCAGAAATATACCGAAATATACCTTTTAATTTTCTAAATATGTAGAGGAAACGAACCCCGCTCAATTCAAACAGGTGAACAACTTGAGTCAGTCAGTGAAAAATAATACGTTTTGTAATTTAGTCTTATAGATCCATCTTTCCTCTTGGATTAAATGCAAAAATTATTGCGATATCTTTCATCTGAACTTACATCGTTGTAATTAATAGTTAATCGTTCTCTGTCCCTGATCGGAAATCATATTTCTCGATTTTGATATTCGGTTTAATATTACTAAGCAGCTGGAAATCTCAGCTGTGAAGATATAATTTAATAGCGGCACATAAATTAATTATACTCATTTATGCGTTTAAAACATGAGCTGGTTCTAGTGCTGTAAAAGGTGTCAAAGTAGCTAAGTGTTGTTAAATGTTTTCTTTAGGGCGCGCAATTTGAATTGAATTTCATGCACCCTACCACCCACCAATCGGTGGATTGATATCTTGGGAGAGACACTGTTCCCGCAAAATTTAAAAATGTTATCAAATACACCTAAGGTGCTTCGAAGAAACTATTTCCATTTAATTAGCTAAGGTTTATGGTTTAAAAATGAAATTTCGTCACGGATTTTTAAGAGAAAAATTAAACCATTTAGTGGAACGGCCAGTCATGTCAACCCTTGCATGTCCACAAGCTATCGATGCCTCGCAAAAACTGGATATTATTTCTACAAATCCTACTTATATTCTACGGTAAGCTATTCCGCCTTGAAGGAGTTTCCACAATGATAAAATCAAATTTAATTTAGCTTTTGATCGAGTGGCATTCGGTATCGAAGAAAAAAAAATTACTGATGAAATAAAACATCGCCTAATGAGCGCCCTCTCAGAGGCGGGATATACCATAAAATCCCTAGGATCCGTGGGCGAGACCATTGGCGATGCTATCAGCCATGGCAGTCGTCTACCAAAATCCGTTTATGATATCTTTGGTTCTCTGTTCGAAGAAGGGGAACTGGAGGCAGAATTGGAAAAGCAGACACCAGTCTGTGGGGCATTGCAATTTAAATGTAAATTTGACAACATTTTTGGCTAGTAATTGAATGAAAAAATAAGGATAATCAGGGGGAGGGTAAAAATGCTACGATTAAATTTTTTATTCTGATTTTTGAAGGATATATAGAAAAAAAAAGAAGTTGTTTTGTTCAATAATTAAAAATGTAATCTCCTTGGCTGTAAATGGGTATGGGCAGATCGAATTTTTATAAATAAATCATTAAATCAAAAATAGAGATTTCTATTTATTAAAACCTAAATGCCACAAAGCTTCTTTGGAGCAGAATCTTCATTAGCTTGGCTTAAAAATATAAAAAGTATTTACTTTAATGAAATTTTGAATGCCACAAATTCTCTATGGTGTTGCTGCCGGTTCCGCTTCGCTTTTCAACATAAATTTGCATGGAAATATTAACCGAAAAACAGTTGTAAATGATGTTCCGTAGCGAGTGGCTAGCGTACTTTCAAATTGTGCTGATATTTAGCAGTAAATATTCTTTAATTATTATTGAAGAACTTCCTTAAAGCGAATTCTTTTAGCGCTGCGACACGTGGATGCTATTCCGGTAATGGAAATGATAAAGCTTCGCCTGTTTCAAGCTCTCTCAAAGGCTGGCTTCCTGGTCAAAGTGGCCTCCATGACAGGCGAGAGTATGGGCGAGACATTGATTAACCTGAGCAATGTGCCCGTAGGCCTTGGCATGATGGTCAGTGCACTGTTCGCGAGTGGCACCAGGACAGAGGAGCCCCCAGAAGATGATCCAAATTGTGAAAAAGGAGGCATACCGTGTAAAATCATGTCTATTTTTGGCCTGAAAAATAATCTGGAATAATGATTGATTATATGGAAGGAAAAGAAGCTCCATTTAATACAACATCAAGTGGTCTAAGCGACATTCAATCGATGGTTCTACTGCATGTTTTTCAGACTCAAAAGGAAACTAATACGAGACCGAGGGGGGCTGCTGCCTGTAGTCACAGGAAGTTATTGAAATTATGCCTTTTTTTAGTGCAGAACAAAGGCCCCAAAAATCTTTATTTAACTTTTACTTACGCTCCAATTTTAGAAACTTAGATGGAAATGAGTTTAAAAGATGTAAAAGTTCAGTTCGAACCACCAAAGAAAAGTTGCATTTAGGTTTGTGCTGCAGAAAAGAGCCTGCGCCATGCCACACCCCATGGCCATGCATGGGGCACACACATAGAGAGGAGAGGACATGCAACCCATTCCGCATGGCGTTGACCCATGGAGGTTAATCATGCAGCGATGTTACGCGCTAATACCTTCATGTGAGCTGGACCACGTGCTGGGCGTGTTCCTCCTTACCGCCACTCCTGCTACTCCTGCCACTCCACTTTCTCGTTGCGTGTCTAACGCTGTTTGCCCACCATTCAGTGTGAGTGGCTGGATGGGTGGGAGGCTGTGCCATGGGGTTGCTCTGCTCTAATTCCACTGCCGCATTCGAGGTTGTCTCCTGGTCGTTGCTGTTTGTTGCTGCTGTTGCTGCTGTTGCTGCTGCTGTTGCCACTGTGCACCCGTAAAATTGATTGCGGCGAAAGCTGGAAAGTTGCACGTTATGCTCGTGGCCTGACTTGGTATCTCTTCTCGGTCTGGTTCCGGGTACTGCTTTCTGCTGCTTCTGTTGCTGCTGTGGCATGGCGTGGCATGCCATGGAGAGAGACAGTGTGCTGTACAATAGCGTAGAGAGTGTGTGGCATGGAGTGGCATGAATGGTAGTGGCTCTTGCTTCTTTCCTGTGCAGGTTGTGCCATGCTAAAATGTGATTTTGTGCAGCAACCAAAGCGAGTTTTTTTGCAAAAAAAAAAACACCTCCTTCATTCTCTTTGGAATAATATTTTGTGCACATTTTCCGGACATTTTCTTACATGTTTAATGCTTGGAAATTTGTTTTAAGGGCGTGGCCTACAGCAGTAAATATATATAATAAAATCATGGGGAAAGTCAGAAGAAAAGAAAAGTTTTTCAGCTACAGAAATTGAGTATAAGTTCCACCAATCCGCGTAGTACCTGTGGGTCTCTTTCCCTCCCTGCCCCATGTCGCCTGTCATAGATTACAAGCCTATAAAAATATTTACATCCAAATTCTATCTCACGCCCCACTAGGCGTATGGGAAATATTTCTATCCATACACAAAATTCGTCGAAAATTACCATGGGGGGCCATCAATCCTTTACGGGTTATCCCATGCTGCCACTTTTTCACAGGATGGACAAGTGCCACAATTCACATCATCAAGATTGCGTGAAATGCTTGTACTCACACACACAGAGAGAGAATCTATATACATATATAGAAAGCATAACCCATATCACATATCACACATCGGATAACATATCCATCCTTCACACAACATTCAATATGCAAGGCTGGGCCCACCTTTTTGGCCATGGCTAATTCGCATGTCATGCGATGACGATGACGATGAAGCAGCGGCTCGTTCATTCGTTCGACAATGACGATGATATAGAGAGAGAGAGAGAGGAGTAGGTTGGGGGAATTAACCTAACCCTTTATTCCTCTCTCTGTGTGTGTGTGTGTTCGTCTGTGTGTGCATAGCAATGTGTCTATAAAAAACAATGACGGACATTTGGGAGGATTTCTTGGGCATAGAATAATAGTACATCAACACAAAATTTTACAGGACAGGCAACGGAGAAATAAAATCATTTACGCAACAACGAGACCGACCAGACCAGAACCCAAAAATGAAAGGCAAGAAAAGGCGATAAGCAAAAGGAAAATCGTAGTACATAAAAGGAAACTATTGAATGCACTTTCCGTGACTGCTTTTTGGGGGAAAATATGGGGGAGAATTGACTAAAATGGGAGATAAATCAAGGCTGGGACTTAAACAAAAATAATCCAAGTATTTAAATCTATACTATAAATTTGTAGAAAAAAATCTGTGTGTAAGCGGCTATCTCCGCAACGCGTGCACCAAATTTCATGCTGTTATTTTTGAAAATGCTAGCCAGAGTATGTGGCATTGTTTCTATTCTTTTCTGTAAATAAGTTTCTCGAAAATTAAAAATTAATCTAAAAAAATCTTAAATTTGGTCTAAAAATGTGTGTTTGAATGCCTATTTCATTTAATTTTGTGTCATTCTGTAGAACAGAACATTTTTTGATAGATTTTGTTTTTATACCTTTTTGTATGAAAGTCTGCTAGTGTTTTATAATTTTTTTTAATAATTTAAAATGTTTAAATTTAAATATTTAGATATTTAAAATTAAGTAGTACATTTTCGTAGAAAATATATTTAATTTTAATACAAAAATATTTATTTAAAATTTGTAATATATATTTATAATTTAAATATTAAATTAATTAATATATTTAATTAATATGAAATATATTTAAATCAATTATTTATATATTAATGCCAGAATGTTTGTGAAGTCTGTTCAACATTTTAAAACTCGCAGCAAAAGTCTTTTTTTAATATTAAAGTGTCAGGGCTTATTTCTCTGGTTGTACGAACTTGCATTTTCGTACCGATCATGTGCCAGTCCCTAAAAGTTGAGTTCATACCCCACTAAAAATTCAATTAACTAATATTTCCATTCACATTTAAAGGGTATCCACCCACAAACAGGACTACTACTAGAAGAAGACAACGCTAAGCGGATGTAGCACGCTTATCCTTTTCCCACACGAACATCGAAACACATCCACACACAAAGCGAAGGAAAGAGCGAGGGAGCGGGCAGTCGGCTGGGGCTTTGGTTTTATTCCTATTTTTTTTTTTGCATTATTATTTTTATTTTATTTAAACCACACAAAATACTTAAGACGATTTTGTGTTCTGTTTTGTGGCCCAAGACGTATTGCCCATGGCCAAAAGCAGCAGCACCAGCACCAGCAACAAGAAAAGTGTGAAAAGAAAACCAGAGAGCAAAACGAAACAAAAACGAATGCTAAAAGTTTTTCCAATCCCAAAAAAAAAAGAAAGAATGAAAGGAACTAAAAAGGGTAATATGCAACATGTCCGAGTGGTCTATGCGGCTGTCCGGCTGTCCCCCTACTGCCTGCCTGCCTCTCCGTTGAGCGGACAGCTGGAGGCGTTTGCATATGCAAAATACTCGTAAGACTTATTCCTTACCTTTCGGCAAAGACATTCGCCCCAAAGAAAAAGAAGGAGGAGGGCGAGGCACAAGATATTCGCCCCGAGAACAATAAAATGGGAAAGGGGAGGGGGGGGTGGCGATGATGGTAGGTCCTTTGATGACAGGACAAGATGTTCAGACACGTTGGGGGCATCAATAATAGACACATAGCACATGTCCTTTGTCAAGGAAATACCCTCAAAATTTATGACACCCTTGACATCTCCATCTCGACGTACCCGTCCGTACCCCCTGCCACTCCTTGGACAATCCTTGTGAATATCCTTCACAGAAATATGCGACAGCATACAAATTGAGGATTTTTATTTTCATTTCATTTGTGTGTGTTTTTTTTTTTTATGATTTACATTTTCTTTTATTTTTTATGATTTACATTTCGTTTTGGTTTCTTTTTTTATTTTGTTGCCATGCAAAAATGTTTTGGGTTCTCTTTTTATTTTTTACGAGTAATTTGGCCCGTGCGCTTTTCCTGCTCTGCAAATAGTGTGGCAAGCACTTAATTGTTTTAATTGCCTCGAATTTTACTTATTTTTACCATCTTTTTTCCCTCGGATTTGGTCAGTTTTTGCTGCCTTCTTTTTTGTTTGGTGGCGTGTTACTTCCATTAACAAAATTTACTTTCGGCTTGTTAGGGTTTTCATTTTGGGGCGCTACTCTTGTTCTCTTATTTGTTTAGTTTTATGAAAAATTAGCATGAGTTTTGTAGCAATTTATGAGAGGGTAGGGTAGGGTTGGGTTGTATGGCAGCTGTTTGTGTAATTGTGGCAGAGTTTTTATAAGTGTTATGTGAGCAATTTGTGGGGCCTACACAGCTATGATTTACTTATGTATATTTTTCCATGGATCTACTTTTCCCCTTTAATTTTTTTTTATCAAAGCAGGCTGTGCCAAAGCCTTTCTCAATCGTTAGGAATCTTTCGAAATACAATTAATTTCAATAACTTGTAACTTGTTCGCATCAAAAGCAAAATATTTTCTAAAGTTTATTTTGCTGTGAAAGAAAATTAACGCCAGAACTAAATTCAATACAAAATGCCCGAGTTGTCCCAGGAAGCTAAGGAGCGTTTGATGATTGTTCTCAACGTGGTCCAAAAGGCAATCCACTGGGGATTTGTGCCTCTTGTGGTGTATCTGGGTATGTTGTCGAGGTTAAGGTAAAATTGAATTTTAAATAAAATTCTAAACTTGTTTTACAGGTTACCGCAAGGGTCCAGAACCAGGCATGCCGCCACTAACCCTAATGAACATTTTTGGGTTCTAGAAACTAAACTCAATATGCTCGCAGATACCTACCAAGCAAAACCCTTTAAGCACACTCAAAAGTACACTCTTAAATGCAACCTTAGACACACTTCAAAATTCTGATACAATGCTCTCTAACACTATTTGAAAACTCTCCTCAACACACACTCGAGATTTGAGACTGAGACATCCAGTGCGTGCAAATAAAATGTCTTCCCAATATCTCAATTATGTATTATGTTTATTTTTTTTTTAATTCTTTATTTCAATAAGATCGTCAGATGTTCTATAGATTTATTTATGGGGAGTCGTGTACAAAAAATCAACTTCTTTGTAAGTTTGCAAATATAAAGCCCGCTCTGCTACAGAGCTTCATTCTCCCGCAGAAATGGGAGCTATTTTGCGTGAAGGCTTACACGTACAGCACAAGGGCGCTCTCATTCTCTTCATGAGACTTCGTTTTTCTGCTGCTTCTTTTATAAATGTGTATTCAAATCGCCCACGACTAGCAAGCGACAAAGACCAATAACTAAAGCTTACCGCATTCCATTTTGTGGTTCAATTCACTTGCCTTCGTTTAGTTTTTGACTCTTACTGCTCGAAAGGACTAGATTAATAAAAGTTCTGAAGCATCCATAGCCATAGATCTATCTAATTATACTATCTATAGAAATGCAGAAAATATACTACAGCTTGCAGAGAATTTGTGTTTAGAAAAGTTTCGAAGTTAACGAACTTATAATTGTAGCCCATAATCATGAATTTCTCCCACCCCACTCACATCCAGTCTTGGAACCCTCCCTTCATCGACAAAACATAGCGGAATAAAATCCTCTTTGTATATTTATGTATTTCATATCATATTTAAATTTATTTAATTCCCCTCAATATGCATCTGCATATCTCATATGCAGCGTGTTTTACATTCATTTGTAGTGTTTATATGGTTTCTTTTCCAACTATTTTTATTGTTATTATTCGTTTATTCTATATCTAATAGAGCTCGTACCATCATTTTACAACATTTCAATGTGCAAATATCAATTATAAAGCGAGTTCTTTTTTTTTTTGGTACGAGTATCTGTATCTATAAACAAAGCCACACACACACTCACACATACACTCATGCACATGTTCAGATATACGTATATATATATATAGGACTTATGCATAGAAATAACTGAAATATCAGAGATCCAGAGAGACTGGAATCGTAACAGTGGAAGCAGAAAAAACACAGAAAACATAAATACTGTAACCTGCGGCAAAGTTATTTTTTCATTTTCATCATTTGACGATTTCTAAACGCGGTTCGCCCATTCTCCGCGGGAAATGTAACGTCAAAACGCGATGGCAAGAAAATGATACTACAGCTGCAGCGGAGGTGGAAAAAACAAAAACAGGAAGAAATCGGGCAAAATGTGAATGGGAAAATGGGAACCAGAAAAGTGGAAAGGATAACGAATGCTCACAGGATTGAAGTTCATATAATGGCACAAAAGGTATGCCCTTAAATAAGGAGTTTGCTCACTAATCTCAGTAAACCATAGAGGAATTTGGGAATATAATTTGTAGAGAACATTAAAAAAGAAATTAATTTGAAGTCAGGGAATAGGGAATAGTGAATAGTGAATAGAGAATGAGCGCGTCAGCTTTCTGTAGGTCTCAGCTCGTTTACACAGCAGGAAGTGGGTATTTTTTCTGCAAGAGATTAGGCTCAGCACAATAAGAGCGCGGATCTGTAGCCTAGCGGTTTCTATAATTTTCCATGAGAGTAGAGATAGTGCAACAAAGTAGGTTCAGCACAATAAGAGCGCGGATCTGTAAGCCTAGCGGGTTCTATAATTTTCCAATATCCGCTTTAGAAAATTATTCGTTGTATTCCTTTCAAATTGTTTGATCTAAACGAAATATCCTAACAATCTACAGGATTCTTTTTGATTTGGAAGCTTTTAATTGAAAGTTTTCTTAGAGTTTAATTGTACATTTGTCAAGAAATTATATTAAAGAAGCACTAATACGTATGATATTTTGCTTAGTTATAAATGTTACATTTATTATACAGAAATTCTAGTTTTAGTTATAAATCAGTTAACATTAATGCGCGAGCATGCCCATTGAGGAATCGATCTTTCATTGTTTCGACTGCCACCAAAAGGCATACAAAAGGGTCCGTTACTCTTCCTTTAAAGAGTAGATTGAGTCCAAAGCCAAAACGCGAAAAAGGTAAAAACATTTGCCACAAAGGCGAAGGAGGAGTAGCAGCAGCAGATAAGGGAGCAGTAGAGAAGGGAGGAATAGGAGGAGCAGCAGCAGAGTGAAGGATGTGTAAGGATAGATGGATGGATGGATGGTAAAAATTCCTGGTCCCTGGTCCTTTCTGCCAGCTTGAAATAACATGAGAAATTTTTAGAAAACCAACGACAAAACGTCGAATGAAAGATAAATAAAGACCATGCCATGCCGTCACACAGAGGGACTGTCCCCAAAATGAATACGGAAAAAGCACTGGCCAAAAAGATGGAAATAAAATAAAAATATTAGGAATAAAAATGCCAACGGAAAAAGCGTTAGAAATGAAAGTAAAAGAAAAAGCTGGAAAATTTTTCCGCGTAGCTATAAATCAACGTAGCAAATGGAAGTAGAAATGGCAGCTGGAGGCGTGGACACATTTCCGTGCAAATGGATGTTACAGATGGAGGGGAAAGAAAGAGAGAGAGAGAGGAGGCGTGGCATGTATCTATCGCATATATATATATATACTTTATATATATATCTCTATTACATGGTCCTTGTGGCTCCTTGTCCTGTGAAATGTCACAGCTGCTTGCAACGGAGGAGTCGACGAGTTAGTTACAATTTTTTAATTTTTTTTTTGTATGCCACGTACAATTTTTCCACCATTTTCTCTTGCATTTCCCGCTCTTTACGTCCTTTTTTTTTTTTTTTTTGGGTGTACAAATATTTTTGCAAGTGACGGAAAAATTGTTGCCCTCACAAAAATCGATTTTGATTACATTTTTTGCGGATTGAACCCCTGCCCCGATTGATGATGCCTCCTCCTGCTCACTTTTCGTGAACCACTTGGGCGGGCTCCATGGTGTACATGTCGCGCAGAAGTCGCGCTATGGGCACATTCCCGATCGTTTCCTTGAAGAAAAGCGCCTCAATGGTCGAGGCCCGGATGGTCCTGAGCGATGGCAGCAGCAGCAGCAGGCGGCCAAAGCGTGTGGCCTGCCGCGAGTAGCGAAGCCTCACATGATCCGATAGGATGCACTGCGCCTGATCCTGCAACATCTCCACGGGCTGCACGTCGCACAGTCCAGCTGTTTCGGGGGCAAACAAGGCGATGGCCTTCATGCAACCCACCTCGCTGCCATCGGGTGTGATCTGACGGAAGCGGCAGAGAATCTCCTGGATGGTTTTCATCTCCGTTTGGGTGGCCTCGTCCTGCAGGACGCGCTCTTTGATCAAGGGCGACTCCAGAATGGGTGTCAGGTCCAAGGGTATGGTCCATTGGGCCAGATTTAAGAGGAAAAGCTCTTTCCACGACTCCTAAAATGGGGAAATAGAAAAGGGTCATTACTTAAGGATTACCAAGGATTCTGGGGGGACTCTTACCTGCAGCAGCAGATGCTGATCATTCTTGGAGAGCGTCTGAAAGGGCATGAGGCACTTGACCCAACGCACCGCCATGAACAGCAGACGGGCCGTCGTCTCCTGCAGCATTTCCCAGGAGAGGAGCCGCGAATCGAGCAGCTGTTGTGGCAGTGGCGGTGGAAACAGCAGCGTATTGTGCTGCACCTGATACTGGATGAGCTCCTGGCACTTGTCGGGGCTAAGTAGCAGCTCCAGGAAGCCATTCGAAGCAGCTGCCGAGGCCGCCGATGGGTGGCAAGGACGCAGCCCAATCGTTGGTGGATGTGCAGCGAGCGGTGGCGGCGTGGGCGTCGTCGGTGTGGGCGAACCCGATGTGAAACTCGATAGTTTCTGCTCGCCATTGAGGCTGCTGCTCCCCTGATGGTGATGTTGCTGCTGATGATGATGCTGATGGTGGTGATTATTGTGGATGCTGTGCATCAGCAGAGAGGCGTGACTCGGTGGCGTTGTGGCGCCACTCAAACTATGCTGCGATGTCTGTCGTGGCGGATGCTGTGGCGAGCCCTGGGAATCCGTCAGCGTTGGGGCCGGGGAAATGCTACCCGCACTCAGTGGCGGCGATGCCGAGGGCGAGGGTGTCTCCGTCTCCACATTGACACGTGGACTTTCGCTGCCCCCCACACTCCTCGAGCCAATGCTGGAGATCGATTGAATCGAGTTGCTGGGCGAGGGCGAAGAGTAGTTGTTGTTGTTGTTGCTGTTGCTGTTGACTGTTGCCCCTTGCAGGTGGCCGTAGGGGGAGGTGGCAGCGGCTGCAGCGGTGGTTGTGGAGGAGACAACGGCTGCCACTGCGGTGGCCGTGGCCGCTGTAATCCCCGGCAGCTTGCTGGCCGCCTCCGCAATCAGATTGTGATGCAGCAGGTGCGTGGGGAAGCCCGTGCCAGAGCTGACACCATTCTGTGGCACCAGCGAGTGGTGCCCCGGATGATGGAAGGCTGTGGGATGTGGCTGCTGTGGGTGGTGTGGCGGTGCCCCCACCCCCTGCTGCTGTTGCTGTTGTTGCTGCTGCTGCTGCTGCTGATGGAATGCCTGAGGATTCGTTGGCGCAACTGGCGTCACCGACGGATGCGTGGATATGTGCTGCGTGTAGTTGAAGGACGCCGAGACATTCGTCACCAGCGACACGGGCAGGTGTCCCCCGGCGGTGGCATGATGATGATGGTGCAAACCCGCCGCTGCTGCTGCAGCCGCTGCCGCATGATGTGCGGCCGCCGCATGGGCATGGGCATGGTGATGATGATGATGGTGATGATGTGCAGCGGCATGATGGGCAGCGGCAGCAGCGGCCGCTGCATGATGATGATGGTGATGCAGCTGTGGATGGAGCTTGGGTTTCCGGGGACCACGCTCGTGCTGAACGGCTGTAAGAAGAGAACGAAGGAGAGAGCGAAAGGGGTCTTAGATGTGTGTACCAGAGTCGAAAGAGAATGAGCATTTATTTTGGGTACTTTTGTGGGTGGGCGCTATATCAGAAAAATACTATAAAATACCATAAAAATATTATAAATAATACCAGAGATACTTAGGAAAAAAGAAATAATATCAAGAACTTTCTACGAATACATCCAAGATAATATTTGAAATAATACCAGCAAAATACTAGAAATAGTACCAGAAGAACCATTTAAAAATTCTATAAAAAAAACGTGAAAATTATAGAAAATTTACCAAGAAATTACTAGGAATAATGCCTAAGAAAACTTAGCAGAAGTCCATAAAGGATAATAAGAGGTTTAGATTTGATTTAAAGATACACAATGTATCTAAGGGATATCTTAGGGTATCGTAGGGATATCTTAGGGTATCTTCTAAGCATAATACTCCTTCTACTATTCCATGTCAATATCTATAAATTGTTTTTCCCTCCACTTTGTACTTCTTTTTTGATGATTTCCCTCAGATTTCCCTGCTCAGACACCCATCGTATTTGCATCTCTGGTTTTTCCCATGAAAATCAGTTCAAGTGTATAATTTCCACTAATCTGTCGTTAAGTATTTAAATAAATAAAAGTTAATTTCAAAAGATACTTTCTCCAGATACTTTTTCCATGATTTCTTTGAAGTGTTGTGCCCCAGTCCCAGCCCCCTATCCGCCAACCAAGAAAAGGTTCGACTTTCTCCCTTGCTGCGTGGCCTTTGCAAATAAATAAATAGGGGGGGCATGGGATGGCATACAAAGACATAATAAACCGATTATTAAAATGCTAAAGATGCAAAGATACAAAGATACAGAAAGGCAGTTCCGTCCTCGTCCTCGTTCCGTCCCCGTCCCTTCTGGTCGTGTGAACTGTTGCATATGCCACAAGTTGAACCTTGAATCTGAATCTCTTATGAGGAGGGCAGGAGGCTGGCAGGATATACTCGTATCATGTGTGTGTGTGTGTGCCTGGCGCTGTCATGACTTTTATTTGTTTGTAATTAAATGTATCTATAGATACTGCTACTGCTACTGATGCTGATGCTGATGCTGCGTATGTGTGTGGCCCATGACATGGCGCAAATATGGGGGTGACATTTTAATCCTTCAGGATAATCGCATATGTGATGTGCCTTCCCACTGTAAAATGACTGCAGCCACTTGAGTGTATCTCAAAAACCCCAAAAACTTCACCTTCACCTACTCCTCTGTGTGTGTGGCATCCACTCCTCCCATCCATTCCACTCCCATTTTCATGCCACTTAAAACTAGCGCGCGAAAAAAGTCTCAAAGCTTTCAAAAGATCACAAATTTCAATTAAAGAAAATGCCAAACTCATCAAATTTTTATTTGCTGCGGGTTTTAGCGACAGAAAAGAACTTTTGCAATGGCTCTACCCAATTTTCCCTTCTTTTCCAGGCGGCAACTTGGAACATTTTTGTGGTTCAGTGAAGAAAGGAGCAGACAAAACACGTTGGCTTTGAATACTCTTTTGTGAGCATATTTTGATTGATTTTCAGATATTTCTTACGGAAAAGACCTGCGAAAAGACAATATTTTTCTACAGAAAGTTTTCCCTTCTTCTCAGAAATTCTTCTGCGCTCCAACATCTTTTCAAAATCAGTTTACTCTCTTCGGAAGAGTACACAAAAAACCCGGGAAAAGATGAAGAAAAATACGCCCCAAAAAAGTAGCTCAAACTTCAACTTAAACCCTTTTTTTTTGTTGGCTGTGACTGCCACCGCGGCCCTCTTTTGCTCGCTTTTCCTGCTCCTGTCTCTGGCCTCCGGGGGCGTGGCAAACAAAGGAACGTGTGAAAAAGGCAACAAAATTAGCTGCCATCAGCAAAAAAAAAAAAATTAAAATTTGTTCCTTTTTTCCCCAGCACTTTTCTTCTTGATTTTCTGCAGCTTTCTTTTGGTTGGAAGCGACGCCATTTTTTTACTTGGTGGAAAAACTTTGTTTGATGGAAAAGGCAGCGGGCAAACCGAGAGAAGTGGTGGGGGGCCTGGATGCAAAATGATTTACTTGCTAAAAAGTTATGATGATGGAAAATGCAAAAGTCGTGTCTCTGCGTCGAATGATAAAATAGGAAAAGCGCTTGCGGCTGTTTTCTATTTGTTAAAAATGCTTTAAGAAATTAAAGTTTAAGAGAGTTAATTAAGGAGAACCAATCATTTAGCCCAGGGTTTATAGGGGAATTTTTATATAAAAAAGGAATATATTCATAAAGATAAAAAGTAAAGTATGAAGATATCATCGATTTAGTGTCTTAAATCTCTAGAATATTATACGAAAAGTAATAAAAATATCTAAAGATTTTGTAGTGGTTTCTTGGGCTTTAATTCCCATTTTCCGTGGACTATTTTGATCCTTCCCATGAATATGAAATCTAATTAGCACTTGACTTATAAGCTCTACAGGGATTCCACACTCCAAGGACTTCTATCCGCCACACAGCCCCCGCCACTGCAAACACCCCACTTCAGCCACAAAAATAAACACCTGGAAAGACTCTCAAGAATCTCTCACTCACACTCACACTCGGAAATCTCTCTCGTGCCCGAAATGTGTAACAAAAAGTTACGCCCTTTTGGCGAAAAGAATTACCAATCTACAAATCTAATTAGCAACTCATTACGAGGACCACAGCCACCCTCGCATTTCTGGGTGAAAAAAAACCCCGAAAACATACAGATACAAATACAGAGGAGATACACAGAAAAAAAAGGAAACAAACATATTGACCGATTTGCTGAAGCTAATCAATTAATTAGGGCAGTGCGAGGGCAGTGAGAGAGCAGGGTAAGAGGGGTGGCAGAGGGCCACAGTCCAAGCAAAAACAATTATGTCAAAATAGAGCTAGAGAGAGAAACGGAAAAACAGCGGTAGAGCGGGGGAAAAGGGGCACCAGGAAAAGGACTCAGGGATGAGTGCAGGGAAAATAAAGAGAAACAGACACAAAGGCAGAATGGATGTCAGAATGCCAGAAAATGGGCAAACGGGGAAAAAAGCGGTAGAAAAATTAATGATAAGTGGCAGCGCAGTAGCCGAAGACCAAGAAGAGCAGAAGAGCGAGCAGTTCCGGATGTTCTGCAGCTGTAGCCATTCCCAGGACCAGAAACAGCCACAGGACGACTTCAAGGCACGCAAAATTTTTCCCAATTAATGATGATGATCATCACCACCACCAGAGAAACACTCTGCTGGGTGAGGGGGCGTATGGAATGGAATGTCCTTCCGTAAGCTGAAAAGCGCAAAGCGTGCCCCAGAAATCGAAATAAATAAATCGGTAAACGATAATGAGAGAGAGAGAGAGAAAGAGCAGCAGGAAAGACCTTTACTTTATTTTTATATATGCGGGATATGCAGAGACACACAGACTCATCCAACGCCTCAACCTTACCACCATTCATCCAAAAAGATACATCCTCCTGGTGGATAGCTCCACTACCTTCCTCACTCCCCAGACAGATAATGTCGTAATAAAAATTCGACCCACAATAAGAGAAATGTATCACAAATTTTGTGGCTGAATGTTTGGCAGGCAAATTAAAAGTAAATAAGGCAACGTTTTGTTTGCAAAAATCATTCCGGAAAGCAGAGGGGAAACAAAAGGGAAACGACTGTGAAAACCGACAATAAAATAAAAAGAAATATAAACCGTGAAATTAGGAAAACACTTGAAGTGATTCGATGCGCTTGCCCCGGCAGGGAGTGCGAGTTTGCCGCCAGCAGGATGAGCTCTGAATGGCGTGGGGTATGGGGAGTGAGTGACGAGTGACCCTTGCAGAATGAGCTCTGAATGGTGTATGTTCAAGGGGTGGCCTCTGATTCGCGCTAGAGAGGGTTGGACTTGTACGGGGACTTGTACGAGGCTGCGTAATGGTTCATAATGGCCACACTTTATGTCAGCTCAATTCTCAATACTCTCGCGGTGGCGCGGTGTTCGCTCAGGCAGTCAAGCGTTGAATTGTCGGGGCGGTACAATGGTTTATGAATAGAGCGATTGTTAAGTAGTTATCTCCGGCAAAAAGGTATGGGCAAAGCGAAAAGGGGATTGATAGAGGATTGATGTTGATACTCATACAAAATGTGATGTTTCCGCATTGATAAACTTTATGGAACTGCAAAGTTAGAGAAGATTTTAGCAAGTGGTGGAATTAAGTTTGCAGTTCCGCAAGCTAAGAACTGCTCTTGGTCCGATATTAATAATATTAATAAATAATAATATTAACAAGAAAGGAAACGAAGCATTAATATATTAATACTATTTATAATTAATAATAATGAATAATATTAATAATTAATTATATAAATATTATTATTATAATGATAATAATAATTATGAATAATAATAATATTAATATAATTAATTATTAATATTATTTATTATTATTTTTATTAATAATATTAATAATTATTAATGTTATTAATTATAAATATTATTGTCGTAATTAATATTAATATTATTAATTATTAATATTATTCATTATTATTATTAAATATAAATATTATTAATGTATTAATGCTTCGTTTCCTTTCTTGTTCTCCCTAGCCCATTTATTATTTCATAACTTTCCCCATTTTGTTGTTTAATTTAATTTAAATAATAAAACGTTAACTTTGGTTATATATTACAGATATACTCGTATGTACACCACCTGTCTGCACCCCTGCCGCTATTCTGCATAGAGTGTGTGGCATGTGGCAATCATGATGAGGCCAAGGGCTTTTATGCCTCCTCTGTGACTCTGGCTGGATGCGTGGGCTGCTGCACCCAAAGGAGTGAGTGATTTTAAATCCGCTTTTAATGTTGACACTGACACTTGCACACACAGAGAGAGTGAGTGAGAGAGAGAAAGAAAGAAAGTGTGGGGGGGCATGGACATGTGCAAGCCAGTCGCATTTACATGTCGCATGCAGTCCACCCAGCAGTCCCAC